TTCCACTAGATGAATAATAATTTTCTTTTTTATAAGTTTTCGCCCTTAAAAAGCAGAAGCTCAAAGTAATTATATAATAAACGACTACATCATTTTTTTTAACATATATATATATAAGTACATAACATTAAACAAAAATGTACAAAAACAAAAAAAAACGAAAAAAAATCTACGCACTTATCAATAAAGTAAACACATATACAAATTTTGTATGTAATTTCGTTCTTATATAAAAAAATATCAAACATTTTATTATTTAGAGACTTTAATTTGTTTAAAAATATTTGACATATAGAATTATTATAGTTAGCAAAGCGAATGTCATTATTCTCGGATCCACCTAAATTATATTTTCGCGAAGCGAAAAACTAATTTGGAGCTGTTCCAAAAATTTGTAGAACTACAAATCTTGTAATGTATGTGGTGGTATGAAGTTCGGACTCAATGTAAAAAAATATATTAAAGGAAATGTAGGTAAACTTTTTGTTATGGAGTTAAACTGCTTTCTTGGGACCTCCAATTGCGAAAAGGAAACGAGGTGAAACAAGGTACTATACTCCAAAATTATACCAAAAAATATGAAGAAGCAATCATAACTTGAATTTACACAATCCCCACCTTTTTCTTGCACAATCCTGACAAATCCCAACAATATATACAATAATAACACGAACCATATAATCCAATAGTAAAACAGTCCCCAAATAGTCCCATATAAACAATATGTATTCAATATATCAATCCCGACAATGAATTTATTATTATAACGTACATGTATATACACATTATTCACTTTTGCTTTACTTTTTTAATAAATTCAAAAATTGTCATTTTATATTAAAAATTTCGATAGCATAACGACATTTTCCTATATAAAATAAATTTAATATTTCATAAACCATAAAATATTGAATTTGGTGAATATTGGAAGCAAATTATTTTCACTTCGAATGCTTATTCGCTTCGCGAAATATAATAACCCTATAAAAATAATTAACATTTTGCAAACATAATAATTAACAGCAAATTTGCACAATTTCCATATACATATATATATATATATTTTAGTAATTTTACCAGGCGTTTAAATATATGTACATATATGTTATTTGTTGGCTGTTTTAATAATGTTAATTTGTGTGTCTTGTAAAAAATATTTTGTTTTGAAAATTTGGAAGTAAGTTCAATTTCTGTTTGCAATTTATATTTCTTTTTTTTTTGGTATTTTCCATAAGCAATCAAACATAATAATTAATTAATTAGTTTTATATATGTAAATAAAAATAGGATGCTTTCAAAATATTTTGTTATATACAGTGGGTGTGGATTTAGTATAATCAGTGTCTTAAAATATATATATGTGTATATATATACACTATCATTTACGAATTAAAAATGAGTAAAATTTTTGTTGTTCAGAGAACTAGGATGTCTCTGTATCTCAATTGAATTCCGTGACGCATTTGGATTTTACATACGAGAATTTTCATGAAACGTCTATACTTGCTCAAATATTTTTGTTTTTTTTTTTATTACATATTGTTTTTTGTTATTTAAACAAGCAAACGGGTATAAGTAGTAGAAGTACTTGTATATTTTGTATTTTATGCATACTTTCGGGAATTTAGCCAAACACTTTTTTTTTTAGAAGAATTCAAAAGAAAAGTTTTTCCTTTTTTTGGATTTCAAGTCCATATTTCATGCGAAATAGAAAATTTATTTAAATTCTTGATGTCTACACGTAAAGTTCTCTAAAAAAAAAAACAAAAATTTAACTCATTTTTGATGCCCTATAACTAAACGAAATGGTATGTGTGTATGTTAAGGCACTGATTATACTGAATTCACACCATATATATAAATATACATAAAAAGTGTTCATATAAATTTTAAATACATTTCTATTATGTAGTAAGTTTTTGATATATATTGATACATTTAGTATATAGATATATATATATAGATATAGATGTATATATTTAATATTTTCAATATTTTTTATAAAAAATAAATAGATTTTAATAAAGATTTCATAATATTTTTTCTGTTTTTTTTCCTGCTTTTATACTAACATCATTTTTACTTAAACAAAAAAAAAATTATTCTATTACAAATTATTTTCGTATTTCCTTACTTTTTCTAAATATTTTTTTTTAATTTTTTGATTTTTTTTGTTCTTTTTAATTTATACCCGATTTTTTTTCTTTTTTTAATTTTTGTTTGTGTGTAATGAGAATGAAGAGAGAAAAAAGTATATATATATTTATACACATATATACACATATATATACATTTATATACTGTATAATAACTATGCAAAATATGCATAAAACATAATGCAAGATATACAAATATATATACACATATATATTCATATATATATATATATATATATATATATATATATATATATATATATATATATATATATATATTGTATATATATATGATACGTCGTAAATATATGAGATATACGGTGTATATATGTCTCATAAATTTTAATATTTACACATATATGTATTTAATACATCTTATATTATTAATAAGTATCACATAAGTTTTTATTTATTTTTTTTCCAAATATATATAAATTATAAACAACAGATATATATCACATATATATGTATATATATAATATAAATGATGATATATATGATATATATACCAGAATAATAATATAAATTGAATATATATATATATATATATATATATATACATGTACATACCTATAGGATATGTCGTATCTTAGTTGCACTGCTACATACATCTTTATACTCTTTCATGAGTACACAAAACTTTTGTATGGCGGACATTGTTAACGTATAGCCCAAAAAGGTGTTTGGAGTTACAAGGAACTTGAAGCTTTTCTCGAATGATTTTATTCATAAATTATTCCTGAAATTAAAATTGAATTCGGGATTTTCTTTTTTTGCAAATATAAGAAAAATGCGCTTGTTTAGTATAACATATATTTGCACAAGACGAAGAAAGACACTATAGTAAACGGTTGCTATATATATCTTTAGTCATTGAGCAAAAAAAAATTGCTATAAATTAATATTTACAGCATACTTTAATTTTGTCAATAAGTGCTGCACGATATAACAGGTAGGGACTCATGTACCAAATGAAAGCTCAGTTCACAGCGTTGCCAACAGTGCTTAAATTTGAGAAAGCTACAACACTATACATTACGGTAAAAAATTAATCTTTTTTTTAAATGAAAAGATTTGAAAATTTTTCCGAACTTTAATGTTTTATAAGACTCCGAAATCTGAAAAAACTACAAATAATTTATAAATTATAATGAAGCAAGCCTTTTCGTGATCTGAGATTTTAATTCAAATTATATTTAATAGTGAGTCTATCAGACACAAGGAATCACAGGGTCATACATAAAATTTCAAAAAAAGGTATCAGTCGAGACTTTGATTTAAAGCATTTGCAGAAGTCGGAACGTACGTTGAACTATGTGAACTTCATCTTTATATACAAAAGCTTTGTCTAATTATGAGGTATACAACAGTATATAACAGTTCACTTAAATACTACACATTCTGTATATAAATATATATATAAATATATATACGAACCCACAAATATACAAATAGATACATGTATATATATTCATATACATATTCATATATAGAATGAGATTAAAATTACATATTATGTATTTTGGGTTTATTTTATATTTATATTATTGAGAGAAAAGCAATCACTTATCCTTTCATTATATTTAAAGTGATATTATACATATGTATATGTATGTATATATAAGTAGTTGAATTGATTTTTTATTTCGTTTATTTCTTTATATAGAATTCTTAAAACATAAGCATATATAATATATCGCTTTACGTTTTGTTGAAAAAAGATAAATGATTGGTTTTTAATAAAATTTTAAAGATATATATATATATATACATATATATATATATATATATATATTCATATATATATATATATATATATATATATATATATATTTCTTCAGTTTTGTATTTTCTTCCTTTTTTTGTAATTTTATCAGTTTTTTTTTGTTTTAAGAGCTCTTACTTAAGAACATTTATACCTTAGATATTCATCTTTGTATCTATGATGGTGTTTAATTATTATTTTTTTTTTATTCTTATACATATATATACATATATATATATATTATATATATTTATATTTTTTATATGATATATATACCTTTGTGTATATATATGAATGTGTTTTATGTTTGAATTTTGTAATCATTTTTTTTATTTATTTATTTTATTTTATTTGAATTTCATTTAATTTTTTTACATTAACCTAAATTTATATATTTAATTTTCATACATTTATATACATTTATATACATATATAGTGTATATGTACATATATGCATATATATAAGTAAATATAATTTTTTTATATATATTTTAAGAACTTTTTTCTACATACATCAAATTGAATTGAAAACATTTCTGCTCGAATTTTTTTTGTTTTTTGTTTTTTTTACTTCATTTTTTTTAATAATTTTTGTTCTATCAATTTATATTATATATATATAAATGTATATATATATATATATAATCCTTAAATTAAAAATGTTTTTTTTTTATTTTTCTTTCTCATTAATCAATTTTAAATTTAAAGTAAAATTTATTCATGTATTTAATTTTCATTTTTTTTTTTGTTAAACCATTTATTTTTTTACTTCTTTGCTTATTTTCTTTTTAATTTTTTATATATTTTTTATATACGTAATTGTAAGAATTTTAAAATTTCTATATATATATATATATTAATATATATGCAAATATATATGTATATTTATTTATTTATTTATTTATACATTTTTTTCTTCTCAACTTATTTACTTCTTTTTTTCCTTTTTATTTTTGTGAATTTTACATATAACTACAATACATGTATAAGTTTATATATATATATATATATATCATTTAAATATATTATATATATTTAAATTATGTATATATATATTATTTATAAATATATATATTATTTATATATATATATTGTTCATGTACATATACATACATATATATTTATTCTTTTTTTGTTTTCTTTAAATTATTTTAATTTATTTATATATATATAAATATATTTATATATATATATTATTTTTATTATTTTATATTATTTGAAGATGTTTGAATATTATTTTCGGCAGTGATTGACGAATCGGACGATTTTTTCATTTTCTCACAATAATCAGTTAATATATCACGAAAACGTGTCCAACATTTTTCTGGTACTGTTATTGCTGTACGAAAATTACTTTTAACCTACAAATAATAAATATAACAAAAAGAAAATGTAAAAAGTTTAAATAAAAAAGGAATTGTGTGTAAATCTTAACTTAAACCTATATCAAGAGATTTTTTAAAATATTCGTCGACGTGGGTAGTTATTTTAAGAACTCTCAATCTCTTTTTATGGGTTTCAAAATTAACACTGAGTAGTGCTGAACATGAAATAGTATGAAGGTACAGTGAGAGAGTATGAGAGTGTGAGAAAACAATGATAAAGAAATAATTACGAAATATTTATAAAATCTACATGCGCAAATCTGATGGAAATGACTCCATATATTTCGAAGAAAAATGTCTTATACATTTTAAATTAAAAAAAATCAGTTTTTAAAAAATATTCGATTTATTAATATTATGTATTTTTCATTAACACCTTTTTGGGCGGCGAGATGTCACCTGATTTATATAACAACAGTACCGTATCGAAAACACTTTCCCCTTTTTTATAATTAAAAATTTTAATTATAAATTTATTTTAAAATTGTACACTCTCAAGTCTAAATAAGTCGATTTGATATTTTTATACAAAGGCCGCTTAAAATAGCTGTTGCTAAAATACAAAAATTATTTACCTCACTAATTCGCATATAAATGCCTCTATTATTTTGTCCAATATCAAAATAAAAATTTTTATTATCAACTTTCATATGACGTTCTTCCGGTAGTTCACCTTTAAAACTAAAAATACCAAATATATAAATTGCATTTTATTTATAATTAAAGAAAAAAAAATTATAAATTTTACCCGCCATCACTGGTACCAAATTCTTCTAATAAATCTGTTAATGCATCTCTAAATTCAATCATACCTTGAGCAGGAATAGCAATTTGGGATCTGGGACCACCTCTAGTAATTGTTTGTGATACCTATGTTTGCAATTTTTATTTTTTATAACCGAAATGTTGCAATTTTTGGGATAAAATTTTTGTTAAAGCACTTACCCTTAAAAATCTACCCCTTGCATTCTCTTTCAAGTCTAAATAATACCTTCGGTTATCTTTTATCATCATCTCTGACTTTAGCTTTCCATCTTCTGGAACATTATCAGGATTCGGTGGTCCTATTAAATTTTTTATAATAAAATAAACATTTTGATTTTATTTAGTGTATTCTAAGAATGAAACTACGAAAAACATTTGCAAAATGAAGCAAAAGACAATCAGGTATCAGAAAGATATTGGCAGAAATTCTAAGCCTTGAAAGACCTCAAAAATAAATCGGTCTCGGGATGATAAAAAACATGCTCCTGGGAGCAAGAAATTAAAGATTATCAAGCTAGAGAAAAGCCAAACCTACGACATCAGGGCACTGGCAGAGAACGATGAACTAAGTTGTCCGCCACCATCTTCGACTTCGGGTTTTAAACATTTCTTTGCGATCGAAGGAAGGAATGTACTTAGTTTCGATTCTTTTGAAGTAGTCAGGAGGTGGTAGCGGATAATCAAATGCCAGAACCAGCTCTCGGGAGATTAAGTTTTTAGAAATCTCAGGAGATTTCATAAAAACACCGATTTGTATTTGAATAATGAAGGAGGACGGTAAACTTCTGAAAGTATTGAAGATAGCGGTTCCGGAGAGTGACTGGAAAGTCAGCAAAAAGCAGCAATACAGTCAAGTTACATCTTGCATTTAGTATAAGGTTTCGTACTAGTATAAGGTAAAAGTATAAGGTTTTATACTATGCTACATGTACTTTATCAAAATATAACACTATCATCAATACTGAGTAAAATTAGTATAGCAAACAAGAAAAAAAAAAATTCATTTACCTAGTGAAGCATAATAATCACTGAATGTTGATAAATGATCTCTAAACTCTGCTGCAGTTGATAACGCCAAATACACTTGACTCCGACGTCCATCTGCTCCGATCTAAATTTAAAAAAAAAATCTCTTTCTTACTTAATTTCTATTTAAAAATAAAGAAATTTCCTTACCTCTGCAACTTTTATAAATCGTCCTCTTCGGTTTTGCTTAACATCAAGATAAAATCTTTTTGATTGAATTTGAAGCATTTTAGTAGCTAGTTCTTGCTCTGTCTGCTGGCCCTGCTGACCTTAAGAGTATAAATCAAATTATTTTGAAAAATATTTTTCTTTGAAAAATAACTTTAATTTTGAATTTAAATTTTTTTTAAATTTATCAATTATAATAATATTATTATATGTAGTAATCAAAAAAATATATTTACTCTTGCCAGATTCGAATTCACCACCGCCTCCATCCATTCCTTGAACATTATATTCTATAAAATTAAAATTAATAATATAATAATGGCTTAAGTCGATTATTGAAAAAAATAATTATTTTGTATATTTTATGTAAACATACTTTGTCCGGAAACTCCTTCGTCACCGCTGCCGATATCGGACATCGCACCTCCAACCTACACTAAGCCACTTGCACCGTAGCTCCGCGCGTAACTCAATTTTTTGATTTTTCTATAATTTCCTTTTTGTATTGTATTTATATATGTATAGGTGCAATTATATTTACGTCAATTTTTTTTTTAGCAATTTGATTTTTCAATTTTATTAATTTTAAAAAAGTTAATTTTATTTTTTTTTAATTTATCATATTTATTATATTAGCGGCCGTGTTAACAAAGATTTCCAAAAAAGAGAAAAACAGATAAATAAATATTTATTAATTAAATACTAAAATTTTTTAAAAAGTATATAAATATATTTAAATATTAAGTAAAACCAAGCACATGAAGTTCGATTATGCCTTTTTTTACTATTTTTTAAAGGAACAACCTTTTATTCTTCTAACTTTCCTAAATAAACGACTATTTATTTGGACTATTGTTACTATTACTATCGAACCTGTGGGTTGATAACTGTTGCCATTACTGGCAGCTACTGGTATTTTAGAATTAGAAACTATATAGCTCTTGTAGAGTTGACAAATATGCTGTCGATAGGGCCGAAAATGTTATTGGTACTTTACGGCAACAGTAAGAATACATTAATCTCGATATTTTTTTTTTATTATATACGTATTTTAAAGGTATACTTCATAAAAATTCAAGGATATAATTAGAAAAATCGAGATTTTCAAGGCGAAAATCGAGATGGTGGAAAATTGTTAAAATCTATAACTGAAACCGAGATATCTGGCAATCGTATAAATAATGCTTCAACTTATAAAAAAGCTAATAAAAATTTCAATTTTTTTTATCCTTTTTCAATTTGATTTTTTTGTAGATAATTAGATATTTCTCTTGTAGAATTTCAGCAACACTTAGAGTCTATTTTGTATAAAATTCTTAGAGCTACTACATTGTTTGTTGAACCATAAAAATTTTGATTATGGTTTGTAAAGAAGCCTACTACATTATCGTTTAAATAACTTTTATTATTATACCAAAATTTATTGCATACTTTTAGGAAAGAGCAAAAAAAAAAAATTTGACGCGTTAACAAAATGAGTTACGAATGAATTGGACGGTTTAGTTAGTGAGTTAGTAAATTACACTATTTAGTGGCAAGACATTTACCGTTACCTGTTCGCTTTTAAAAAAAATTTGGAAAAGCTTACAGTTTCGGATATATAAAGTGCCGGAATTTCAAATGCTTTAAATTTCGTTAAGCGTCAACTTGAAAGGGAGGGTGGAGGAGAGGTTGAAAACAAATTTCTTCTAAAGAACTTAGACTTTATTTATTAGTGTCTAAAAGTTGGTAAAATTTCAAACTTCTACAAATTACCATATTTAAGATTCTAAAAAGAAAAGTGTTTTACTTTATTTAAGGAGATTTAAGCCTTTTAATGATTAATTTTGTTGACCCGTAAGCAGAACACTATCTTCTTCTGCTCATGGAATTTAAAAAATGTTTGTAGTTTCGTTACAATAAATAGTAAAAAAATAATATTTTTAGGATTTGAAAGTATGTATCTTTTGTAAAGAAAAATTTTCTTCTAGAAAAATAATTTTTGTACTAGAAAAATAAGTAATAACTAGATAAATCTATATTTTGCATATAAAATTTAAGTTTTGCATCCTAAAAGTTTTGTAAAGAGACACACATACGTATACAGACGGAGAGTCAAAGTGAAACTTTATTAGTTAGCACTTTTTTTTCTAATATTTGTTTTGCAAAAGTGCTCTAAAAAGAATATAAATTTTATGTCTGCATTTCTGTTAACATACACATATACATACAGCATGTACGTTTTAAAATATGAAAAAATTATTTTAAATATTATAAAAATTTTAAAATTTAAAATTATGCAAAAATATTAATCAAATGGGTAGATATAACACTCTTATATATTTTAATATTTTTGGTCAGGTAAATTAATTTATATACATAATATGTACATATATGAACAAAGGTAATAAAAAAAGTGCATACATTATGCTTATATGCATAATATATGTATATATGCATGCAATATATTTAATATACATTTATCAAGTAAAAATTCTCAAAATATGGTTAGGTACCTAATGTTATAGTTAAATATCTACATAATAAATGTATGTAGGTATACCTACAAACATGACCTAAAACAACACTATATATATATATATATATATATATTACAGAATTATATACACTATGTTGACTACAAAAAAAAAAATTCTTTTATTATCCTTGCAAATTATTGTCTCAATAATTTCAATTAAAAATATGGGTAATTAAGAGCACATTGTTATATATATGGATATGGCACTAAAAATATATATAGATTCTTCGTTAACACACTCTAACAATAAGGTTCAAAAAATAAAGAAGTTTTTCTTTAAATTTCAAAATTACATATATATACATATAAATGTATGTATGAGCATATTATCATGTTTTTTTAACTTTATTAAATCTATACCATTATCATTCTATACTCTAGTTAATTTTTTTAATAAAAAAATGGTATTATGTATACTTGGTAATTATTCAGAATCAAATATCACATCATTTTAGAATCACCTTTGTTTTTTTTTTTTAATAATGTGTACATATGTACATACAATACATATATTTTACTATAAACCAAAAAAAAATTAATATTATAATTTTTTCTCTTTTTATAATCACGATTTCAATACCATAGGGATATTGTATACGAAAACATATTGTATGTATGTATGTATGTATGTACATATGTACCACATATGATAATTTTTTTTTCTGCTATGTTACAATTAAATATTAAAAAATTTTTAATCGAAAATATTATATACTGAATATTGTATAAATTTTAATTAATAATATATTGTCTTACTATATATATGTATTTAAATTTATTTACTCATTTGAAGAATTGTGTAAATTTTCTATAAAACACAAAAAAAAATAAGAGAATATAACAATAAAATTTACAAAATAAAAATAAATTATATTTTATTAAAAATGAAAAACACAAATTTTTGTAAAATTACACACATTATGCACGCAAACATTTTATGCATATGTATATTTTTTTTTTAAATCCACTTAAATGACATTTGTTAAAATTTTGACAGATACATAGGAGTCTAATCCAATATATATACAAACATTTGCGTGTATGTACATATGTGTAGTTTACACATGGCGATTTTGAATCTTTTTTTTTGCTTGTTAATTATTATGGTATATGTGTGAATGCATAGGCATATTTTATGTTTGTATATACATATATAAATGCGCCTTCTATAAATATATATAGATATGTAAATTTTATTTTAAAACAAATATAAACTAAACATTTTCTTTATTTTTGTACTTTTTACATATGTACTTTCCTTTTTTTTTTTTGTTTTTTTAGATGATAACACACTCACTTTTTAACTGATATACATACTTGTACATATATATTAAAAACTTATACTATTCATATAACAGTGTAATTGTATATTATATATACATATATATATATATATATATATATATATATATATATATATATATATATATATAAATATACAAATTTATTAATAAAATACTTTAATTTTTTGTTATAATTATAAATTTATTTAAAAATTTATTAGACTTTAAACATAATATTAATAAAAAAAAATAACAAAAGAAAATAATTTTGTAGCAAAATTTACCTTGCCCTATTTGTTATATATATGTATACTAATATGCTAGTCATGTCAGCCAGTGTAATATTTATATGTCATGTAAAAAAAAAAATATATAAAAAAAAAATTTTTTCTTCCAACTATATTAAAATCTATTCTAGTAGTTGTGTGTAATTTTAATCTCTTTTTTTTTTACATTTGTTTTTGTCTTTTTTGTTTTTGGCTTTTTATAACATTTATAGCTGTCAAAAGCAATGTGTTATATTTATGTATAACACATAATATGTAACGCGCGCGCTCTGTCTTTACAAAATTATGCAAGTTAAAAGTTTTTTTGTTGTCATTTCAAGTTCTGCCATTAGTATGACAGTAGTACAATATATGCATTCATGACATTACAAGAATCATGACAGTCCATAACCATTATTTTATTTTATAATAAAGCAAAAGCAACAAACATATTATGTATTTCTCTTTTAATAGTGGACAAAATGCATTTTATATAAGTAAATAATATGTATGTATATACACGTACCTAAATCTCAAAAATATTTATTATGACTGTTATATATTATACTGTTATATGAAATGAAAAAGCAACGTTAATGTGTGTATACAGGTTGATTCGATATAGAGAACAATATTACATTATCATTGTTTAGGGCATGAAAAATTGTTAAAATTATTTTTTGGAACTTGAATTGCCAAATCTCAACGGTTTCTGAGATACAGGGATTTTAATGAATTTTCACGAAATTTTTACTTGCTTTATTGCTTATTATTCGAAAAGAGATAGGAGGTTCATAAAATCAATTCTTCGAAAAGGTGGTACAAAATTTGTAAGCAAGATATTACTTACCAAAAAAATCCTACGAAATTTTTTTTTAAAGAATTTAGGCCAGCTGCTTAAATCTTAAATTAAATCATTATATGACTTTTTTTAAAACTCGAATGTTTGGTATTCCGAAAATATCTTGTTTTCAAGCCCCTTGCTGAATTTTTTTTACATTTTCAAGAACTGTTTATATGAACCTTCTATCTTTTTCAGAATGGAAGTTATAAGCAAAAAAGCTGGACAACTAGAAATTTTATGAAAGTTCGCTAAAATCCTTGTATGTCGGAAAACGTTGATAACTAATTCACATCAAAAATTTTATCCATTATTGATGCTCTAAAACCATGTCTTATAATATTGTACTCTTTGCTGAATCACTCCGTATATATATGTTCATATACTAGTTTTAAAAAAAATTGAAGCTTTTTTAATATCTGATTTTATCATTATATAGCGTCAAATATCATTTTATAGCATAACTACACACACACACATGTTTTTTTCACATCAAAGATAGCATTTTTTGTATAAATGTGTATTTTAAAAAGATATAAATTCAATTTAGAATCAGAATCAGATACTTCGGTTGTGGAATTCGAGAGACAAAGAGTAATTGAAAAAAAATATTTTTTGAGGTAACTCTCTCAAAAAAAAGTATTGCGAAGTGAAACGAACAATTGAACTTGAGAGGTTAGAGCAGCAATCACTTATTGGAAAAAAATTAAATGTAAAAATTAATGTTAGGTGTGTGTATATTGTAAATACATACATCTCATATAATATAAAAATTGGTACTTGGAAAATTACTTGAAAATACTTGGTGACTAAAAAATTGAAGTACACCACAATGGAAATGCTCTGATTGTAGTATGTATACTCCTACTTGGTGTCTTACCCATTACCAGTACTCGTATTCGTTTTTCTTTTGTTTTATGTTTGCTTTCCTTTCATATTGTCTAATATAAACCAATATATTTAGCGCGCTAATTGTGCTTTGCTACGAAAGCTACGAAATGCAATTTCCAAAAGAGCATGGTTTATGGTACATTGATTGTATAACGATCATATACTCAATCTTACGATTTTTTCAATAATATACCAAATTATCACATTTGCCAAAATTTCATATGGCGAATTCTTGATACGTAATAAAAAGCCTTGCATATTAAATTTTTTGTTTTAATTCCCTTCGCTCTCCGCCTTTTTTCCTAGTTTCTCATAAGCAAGCCGTGCAGTAATAGATTGTAACATATGGTGTATTGAATAATATGTATATAGATGCCTATAATATAAATTTTCTGTAACAACATGCATGTATTGATATACATACATACACACATAGGTATTTAATATTATCATAAAATATTATACGTATATATAATTAAAATTATTATAGAATTTTTTAAGATTTCATAAAAACTTTTATTAATGGAAACTGCTAGTTTATGTATATTGTGAAAATTATACCCGATCCTTTATGATTTTTTTATTTTCTCTTGAGTCTCATTTCATAGTTCTCGACTTATATCAATACATTTCAAAAGTGTGTATGCGAACATATAGTAGCGAACTGCAGTTGTACCGCATTCTCTGCATAATTTCTGAAATCAGCGCATTATGCAAAAAATTTGATAGGCATCATCAGGTGTAATAAATATATCGAAGATCCTTACTCTCTTACAATAATTGTTGTTATACATAACAAATTTAAAAAAAAGGAATGAAATCTAATTTTTAACCCCTTTTTAACTACAGGAATTATTGCAGTACAGATGATTGTGCCAAAAAAAAATTGAAATTTGATTTTTGTAAGCAACTCTCTTAGACTGAAATTTACTTTATTAACAAATTATATACAGTTTAAATTCTCTTCTTTATTTCTTAATATGTGTTCTCATAATCTCATCACATATGGCTAGGTGATAACTGCGCGATGGCAAGGCAATGATGATGACGGTAACAATACTAAGAGTAAGACAACGACAAAATGACATTACATTTTGCTAATATAATATCAAAAGAGAGAGAATTTGCTTATTATACATATGTGTATGTATTCATAAAAGAAAATTGTTATTGTATAAAGGCGATGGTTATTCTGTAAATTCTACATTATATTTACAAATACAATTATTAACAGCGGTACCAAAATCAGAAATTTATCTTCAAAATAAAATGTTTTTTTGTAATAAGTTTTTTGTGCGGTAATGGACATGATACGTTAGTAACACTATTCCATCCATAACAAACCAAAATTTTTGATATTCTCCGATGTAATTAATTCTACATGTTATATTAAACGTTTTGGCGGCGCAATTAACTAAATGCATATGTACACGACTAATAACATCATATTATATGTATGCCATTTTGTGCATGTCATTAGTTTTTCTTTTTGGTTGAACTGATTTGAATTGAAATCTGGACATTTTTTTTAACGAACTATCTAAAATGGGCGCGTAGTGCTTATGTGAAAATCTTGTTATACCCGTTTACACATTTTAAATCAAGTGACTAAAATGACCTGTACTCCAATTGGAATTCGATCCCGCATTGGAATTGTTGATTTTGATAACGTACCGCATTTTTTTTTCTAATTTTTTGGTTGCTTTATTTTCTAATCAAATTTCAATTTTTATTCATTTATTTCTCACAAAATGTAATTTCACGAATTTAAAAATTTAACAAATATAAAGTTCTTTTAGGTGGAATAATTGAAAATGTAATTTCTACTCTCGATATATGGTTGGTGGTCAGTTAAAGCTTCTCACAATATAATCTGAATCTTATTAAATTAAGTAATAATATGTTGAACTCCTCCAGAGTATTCAGTTTGGTTTTCTAGATTTATAAACTGTTGTCAACTGTTTTAAGAAACCCAAAAGTTTCACAAGAAACAGATATAAGTCTCATTTTTTTTCTTCTTCCTTCAATAAGGATGGGCAATATCAACAAATCTTTCGCAATATCCACTTATTAAAATTCTTTATCCATATAAAATCCACAGTTTAATTTTTTCGTTACATGTAGTAAAAAAAATTATGCCCACATTATATATATATATATAAATATATATATATATACATATACATTTAACAAATTTTTGACAATTCGTAGTCTGTCAAATACGATATATGTTTGTTCAATTCACCGTTACCTTATGCATATACATATATACATATATGCCTACCTATACGTATATTCTACGTTCTATATGCGCGACGTAACGTATTGAATTATACAGCCTCATTATATGTGAAGATATCGAAGGGTTCATGAAAATTCGTTATATTTTTCTTTTTTTTTTTTGGTTATTAAATCTTCGAAAAGTAGGTATTTTTTTTTTGGGTTAATCTAATTTGGCAGCACTATATTTGGTACTATATGTAATATTATGATATTAATATAATTTATACACACTATATATAATATATTTTATTTGTATTATATACATATTGATACTAATATACATATGTAAACATATATACTTAATATATGTATGTTTACATATTATATATATGTATATATAATATGTATATATTTATTATCATATATATATTTTGTATATATATATATATATATACAAAATTAGCACATATATGCATATCACAGATTGTTTTTTTTTTTTTTAAATTCCAATATAACTAATGTTTTGGGTGGAATATTTGAAATAATATAGGAAAACAAAAAGAAATTAAAAAAAAAAAACAGAACAATATTATTATTACTCAAAGGTCACACTATTCTTATGTATGTGCTTTTATATACTAGTATATTTAGAAACATTTACTTTTACTATGTTTTTTTTCTTGTGTTTTTTTTTCTTTTGTTTGATTTTTTTTTCATACAATTATTAATTTCGACTTATTTTTTCGATTTTTTTCGAATTTAGAAATTTCGATTCTGTAATTTTTTTTTTTGTGTTTTCTTTTTTCTCAATTTCTTTTATAATTTTAAATGAAAAGAAATTATTATTTAAGAATTAAAAAAAAAAAAAAGATTTTTTTCTGAAGGTATAACAGTTTTCTCGTCTTATTCCTTTTTCTCTTTTTTAACTGTGTTAACCAAAAATAATAAATTCGAATATTTTAAATAGCCTTTTTTTTTGTTTGAACCTTTTGTGTGAAAATTGAATTTTGTTTTTTTTTTTACATTTTTGACTTAATATTTTTTGCTTTTTATTTTTAATTTGGATTACTTAATTTTTATTCCTCTTGTAATTAAATTTTAAATAAAAAATTTTATTTATCGTTGTATTTCATATTTTGTTATTTTCTTGTTTTTATTCTTGTATATAATAAATAAATATATTATTTCTTATTATTTTTATTATTTTTTTTTTCTTTTAGTTTTTTACACCATTATTATGTTCTGTCAATTTTTCATTTTTTTTTATTATATTTTTATCCTTGACAGATAAATATTTAAAAAAAATTTTTGAAATATGTATTTTTCATATATATTGTACACATACAAACACTAACTAAATCGCGTTTTGTATCTCGTCGTATTGTATGGATATTTACATACATTCATACATATTTTTTTCTATTCGTTCATATTTTATTATTGTACGAAATGTGCATTAATACAGCGAGCTCCGCGCTCGTATTTTAGATTTGTATGTGTATGTGTGTGTGTGTATTCATTTGTGAAGCTATATTGAGTATATATATTGATAAAAATAAAAAATAACAGTTTATATGACGGATGACAGAAATGCAGGCCTGGACATTAAAGAGAGAGTGACAGTTCACAGCTGACAAATTTAAACGTATTCTTATGGGATTGGGAATTATAGAGGGCTCTTTTTAACATTGTTAATCTCCTGCTAAAGTTGATCTTTCTTCAAATTTTCAATTTGTTAAAAATGTTAAAATTCAATCTTTTTCTACTTTACTTACATTCTTAAAGTTCTGTGTTATTAAAACATTAAAAAATTGATTTAAAAAAAAAATACCTTCCCGATTCTGTTCAATTTTTAAGATTTCAATGAATACTACACTATACAAGGAAAAAAACTAGTGTAATTTTTTTTCTCGATGTATTAAGTTGATTTTTGTGCATTTTTTCAAATTTGATAAAATGTACATTTGATAATAACAAGCTTGCTATTATTCATACCGCTTATATATAATTGCATATATAGTGGCTCCCATTCGTATTCGTACAGCGAAGCAAAATGTACAATTTGAAATTTTTTTGCAAATGAATTCGTACAATTTTTTCTTAATTTCATTTTTTTTTACAAAATTGGTTATTTATCATTAAAATTAAATCAAAACAAAGAAAAAAAAAAATTATTTTTGTTAAATGTAATTTAATTTTTAATTTTGTTTACTACTATTATTAAATAATAAAGCTTGATTAAAATATTTACAAAATATATTTCACATTTTCTGTTTTATTAAGTAGAATAAAAATATGATTGCTGTACGAATACGAGTGGGAGCCACTGTATATCTATATATTTTTAATGTGATTAAATTAATATGCTTCATAATTCATAAAAATGATTGCATGTGTGTATTTTTATTATATTAAAAGTCCACATAATTCTTATTATGTATGTACATATGTGATTTTAGCTATATTAGGAACTATTTTGTTTATTGAACATTTTTAGTAAGTCTAACACTTATTTACCTAAACTACCGTATTATGAACATCAAAAATACAAGTTTCTTTATAATATTTTTATTGTGTTTTTTTTAATATAGGGGACGCTTTTTTATAATGATTATAAAATTATAAAAGCGCTGTCCTAATTATAAAACTTAAAATGAAAATAGGCAAAAATTATAATTTTTCCAAAAAAACAAAAAAAAAAAAATGATTCTTCAGAAATGTCATTTTACCAAAAATTCATATGCAATTTTAACAAATGCATTCATAGAAAAAGCAGTGTCCAGGTCTTGATTTTTTATAGTGTCAAGATTTATATTCACGTAATATATACATTCATGTGTGTGAGTGCAAAGAGTATACGCACACATACACGCAGCCCAATGGATATTTGGATACAAAATATGCAAAAATACAAAAAATATATACTTATTATGTAATTAAAAAAAAAATTAAATTTTTTCGGTGACCAAAGAATTAATAAAAAAAATTATTGTTTTCTTTTAACAAGCGCCTCTTGTTAACATTTAAATGTTGTTCGCTTTTATATATACATATATGTATATATACATGCATATATGTATGCACACACATTACACATAAAAGACCAAAAGACAGTTTAAAAGTAGTGATAATAGAGAGGATGACAGTTTGCAAAGATAGTTCACACGCGTTTATAGCACTTTTCCAAAAAATTTTTTAAAAAAAAAGTGCTTATTAGTTTTACTCTGTCCGTCCAATCGTCTGTCCCTCCGTCTGTTCGTGTGTCTGTTTATAAAACTTCTACACCTTTGAAGATAGAAAGCTGAAATTTTATATGTGCTAGAAACTTATTTTCGTGGAATAAAATTTTTACCTATCTCCCTCCCGTTAAAAGTTATCCACCTACCCCCCCCCCCCCCCCAAATCCCTAAAAACACAATTTTTCAACTATTTATTTTAGTATTTTTTAAATTTTTCAAACGCTGGCTTGCTTTACTGCGGCATACTATACTTGAACTTTAAAAAAACAAAATGGCCGCTAAAATTGACCGTTATCTAAAATTTACCGTTTATTTACCATTTATTTTTTTCAAATTTCTGATCACGTTTTTCTTCTACACCGTACGTTGTAGTAGTGTAAAATCTATTCACATCTATTAGACACTAATAAATAGTTCATTTCATTAGAAGAATATTTTTTTCCACCTCCAAGTCATCGAATCTCGAAATTTGTAAGGAATTTTTGCAGGAAGGTAAAGGTAAACTCCATGCCATTAAAAAATATAAATATTTTTCTTAACTCACACAATTAACCCTTAAAATCGAGCATTATGTTAACCCTAATTAAATTAATTTTTGCTTTATTTCAAAGACTGCATATTTGCATCATCCTAAATATATGCAATCCTAGAAATAGTTTCGCATATGTATGAAAATAATTTTAATAGACTATTTAAAAGAAGTACTTTCACTTGTTGAAGGGAAAATATAACCTATCTGTAAAGTAAGTTCATAAAATTCTACAAATTATTGTAAAAAATATTTATTGTTTAATATTAATTTATGAGTGAAATAAACGAAACAAAAACAATTGGAGCATTACTAAAGGGATAGGAAAATTCAATTATTTTTGCAAAAAAACAAAAATGATGCACATATGTGTTGTGTTAACCTCATTATTTTCAGTAGGTTCTAAGATGTCTTGCGGTAGTAACATTCTGGATCTGGCAAATGAAAGCATTCGCCGATCATAATTTAAAATGTCATTCGATTAACCTAGCCATTCGCTTCACCAATCATAATAAATGTATAAATTATCGACTTATTTTCAAAAAACCCGAACTTAAATGCACTGAAATGCAGTGCGCATTTCACAAATGTCGTATTCTTGTAATATAGAAGATTTAAGTATAAAATACTTAAATACTTAAGATTGTATAGTCAAGCGTAATAGTATTGCAGTTATGACACAATGTGTTACACAGGGAACTAAATATTGACCAGTAAAACAATATTTGACGCGATTGTTAATTTATTGCAGTTCGACGACTACTTAAATTTACAAAAAAACCCAAACGCACGAATGAGCACTTTATGTAATATTTTATATGTTTTAAATATTTTTTCATAGTCATAACAGGATTGGTGGGTATATGTAGATTTCAGGTTATAGTGCAACAAAAAAGTCCTAATTTTTAAAATATTATGTGATAACGGTATATGAAATAAAAGAAAGTCACTTTTTTCAGGTTAAATTTTGTACCTTATTTTTGTTTTTATATTTTATTACATTCATACACAGAAACATTCACAAATATTTTTTTTGTTTTCTTTTTATAATTTTTAATTTTTAAAAAATATATAATTCAAATATTTTCTCTTTTTTTGCCATTAAATTGCAACCGGCAAATTTTATTCTTTTTTTTTTTTATTTTTTAACTTAGTTTTTATAAACATGTATTTATATATGAATATATATACGTATATATATAAGGTTATGAATATGTTTTACTTAATCATATCTTGAAATTTGGTGTTTTAGTTTTTGTTTTTTTTTTCTATATATTTTTACTTTTAATTCTTAGAAAATCCTTATAATTTAAAAACGTTTAAGTTATATATAATTTCATATTACTGATATATATATATACATATATATATATATATATATGTATATATATATATATATATATATATCATATATATATATATTATATGGATGCACATAATAATACTATATGTTTAAGAGCACATTTACGTAACATACATAGTTTTGTAAAATACGCTTATTTGCAAAACACATATGTATAAGCAAAAGTCCTTTATATATGCATTTTCCTATTTTGCCTACATGTGATTTTTCTAATCAAATAGGAAATGAATAACTTGCACAATACCGGATATATATGCACAAAAACCTTCTACCGAAGATAGGATACATATTATAAGTATGTTCGACTGTATATGCATTATATAGCGCTTTAGAACAGCAATAAAAAAAATTAATGTTTAAACTGCAAAGTTGCAATCATAAATATAAAACGTATATGTTTTGTATTCAATTTAAAAAAATGGGAGCCAAATCACAACATTTACATGGAAAAAAATAAACTTCAAGTACGTTGGCGGGATAATTGCTAAATTTTCAAAAATTATTTCTTTGACATAGTTCTTTTAGTACTCGTACTCTCATTAGTATGAGTTTTCTGCAAATTTAGTACTATAGAGAAGAACTGATGTATTATCAAAAATAATTATGTATATAATAGTTAAAACTGCGCTGTATTCATTATTTAAAAGGATGTACTACATACTAGTTTTACAACTAAATGCGATGTCAGAATTAAATTACAAAATTTGTTATTTTAGTAATATTCTCATCTTAATATACAAAATTCAATTGCTATACTCGTATTTACTTATTTATATGTATATATATATAGCTATTATTTTATATTGATAATTAATTAATATATTGATTATACTACATACATTAGTACTGCACAAGTTATTTTTACCATTACACATTAAATTTTATATTCATTATGTACATACATACGAATATATAGTAAATATAAAATATATAAAATAAAAACTAAAATTAACGAGTTAAATTAATAATTAGCAAAAATCGGAGGCTGATTTTCTAATTATTAATTAAGTCGTACAACTTGTCATACATAAAATATTTTAAGGTGTAATCGATAGTGTAAAATACCCGCGTTCAATCCTTTTCTTGCAATCTTTATATTCCAGGTTAACAAAAGCGCATTGTAACTTTTCATTTTCCAAACAACTGATGTGTATAATATCTTGTTTGATTAATGTTGAAAAAAAACCAATAATTCAAAAAAATCTAAATGTCACATTATAAACAATACCAATTGCTTGTCTAAAATATTTTTAAAATTTTTTGGAATTGTATTAAAAAAAAATCTTTGTTTAAATTGGAAAATTTTTGAAGAGAACAACTACCTAATTTTATTTGTCGATGCAACATGTATTGTTATCGAACGGCATTTTTGACATTATCGATTACAACTTCAAATTTTTTATAATATAAAATGTGTTCACGTACATAATATACAATTATGCGTACCTTACATTTTTTTTTCAATTTTAAATTGTTTAATTTGAATTTGATTTGAATTGGCTTTTGAATTTTTTTTTATTCTAAATATTTTGGCTAAATTTTAATAAAGAAAACAGAAAAATTCATCATTTTTGAATTATGCATGAGAAAATTTATTTGAAAAACCATAATTTTCATATAATTGGTAAAATTGTGTATATTTTTTTTACAGTTTTACACACATCTAAAATTATATAGTTTTAAGCATATGGTTGTATTTTATATATATGTATATTTGTAATTTTTAATATTTAACACATCACATGAAATATAACATTCAAAATTTATACAACCATAAGTAATGTATAAACCCACACTTTAGATCAAACCAATAATGAATAGTTTGTAAAGAAACAATTAATTTTTTTCTCTTAAACAATTAAAAATACTGCGTTTAATAACAGTCCACTGTACAATATATTTAAATTATACTTTTATTCATATACCAAAATATATTGCATACTTTTAGGAATGAGCAAGTAAAATTAAAAATTCAATTGTATCGTTATTATTGGATTGAATTTAACGATTTAGTTAGAGACAATAAATTATACTTTTTGATGGCATAACGTTTACCGTTATAATGTAAATGTTATAAATTTTTGTACAGTTAATATTGTGCAGTTCCGCGAAAGCGGAAGCATGACTTAACTATAACTTTCTGTGTTTACGGCATTCGAAAAATGTTTGTGTTTCGTTAAAATAATTAATGAAAAAATGGAACTTTTGAAAGACTTTGTGTGGTTAAAACTTTTAGTTGAGGGGTGGGGTCAATTTGTTGTAGAATAATTTTTTAAATTATTAAAACTTTTTATATTGCAACCAATTTTAATTATATATTTTACCAATAACATTTATATATTGTTTAAGAATTCATGGCAATAATTTGTTTATAAACAATAACAATTATTTTATTTATCGATTTTTCAATTAAAATTCAAATTTTCAATTGAAAAAATTAAGTATTAATTAAATTTGTACTTTAGAACTGTAAATTTCATATTAATTAAAATTTCTTTAACAAATAAAAAAAATGCAGGCAGCCCTTTATCATGAATTTCATTCGTTGAACCATTTTTTGAATTACGGACTTAGTTATGACGTATGTGTATAGATTCTTGAATGATTACAAATTCCACTCGCAGAGTTTATGAATCAGCAATGACGCAGTACCATTTTTCGGATTGTCAACATCAGTATTTTTATTTCAATAGTCAATATAAATATTTAGTATTCGGAATTGACAATATGACATTCACGATTTTCCGAACTTCAGGGCTGTGAACGGTCCGTGAAGGGTCTTACTATCTATTTGGATTTTTGTCTTTGTAAAAACGGAAATGTACTACATTAAAAATTGGTTGGTTTCTACCTTACCATTCTTTCGAATACGAAAGTCGTTTCACGAAAATCGAATTGCATAGTAGGGCCCCAAAATAGGGCTTTCATTCTTTCGTATAATATATAATAATTCTATTACGAATATTCGAACTAGAATTTTAGTAATCTGGCATTCACAATATGACATTCATATAACTTTCAGAATTTCAGTGTGACGAACGGAATTCATGAATAGAGCTCATAATGGTGAATTAATTGGTAAAAAAAAATATATATTAATAATATTAAAATTTTTTGGTTGACTTGAAATTTACAATCAATCCATATTAGGAGATTTTTTAAGAAAACTTTATTGTTTTTTCTTTAAAACTATATAAATTACGAAATTAATACCTTAATAATTATTACATATAGTTAAATATTTAATACTTTTTTCTTTTCTTCATTTAATTTTTACAATATAAATTTTTTAGAATTTTATCATTTTTCCAAAACATTAATAATATATAGAGAGTTTAGTTTTTTTGGTTTAATATTTTTTTATTTATATATATTTTTAACGATTTATATAATTTCAGAATTTTTGGAAAACAAAAATAATATGTATACGTACATATATAAACATTTTTTCATTTTCCAGATTTTTTCTTATATAAAAATAATTCCTTATAAAAAATTTTTGTTTTTGTACATTTAAAACAATAGTGTTAACAACTTTTTCACATAAAAAAAAAATTTATAAGAGCCAAAAATGCATAGTAGGATTTTTCATAAAAAAAATCTCAAATTTAAAAAAAAAAAAAATTATATTAAAAACATGTGATTCAATTTTTCAAAAAAATTCATTAATTTTCCATTAACATTGGAGAAAATATCATAATATGAAAGAAAATAGTCAAGAAAATTGAATTGTAATTAATTTATTTGATAATAATTATAACAGCCAACAAAATTTTTAAGTTTTGGGAGTCGAAAATTTTCACAATACAGTAACAAAATTCTCTCGGAAAACCTTCATACATAAATTTATACACACATCTTTATTTATACAAACAACTACATATATACATAGCTATCTTAAATTTTATTAAAATTAAGAACAAATTAACTAAATTAATTTAATAGTATTAAAAAAAATGTTATGATTATAAATATGTATATGTACAAGTGAATTTGAAAAATATTCATTATGAAATTTAATTTAAACATTCGACAAATTATCGTTATCGAATTTTATTTTACAAAGTTAGGTAATGTTATAATTAAACAAATTTATTGGTTAATTACACTATCATTTGTAATTAACGCAGAATACCTTATAAATGCAATATATATATATATATATATATATATATAAATATATGACTAATGGCAAAAAAGAAAACTAATCAAGGAGAACGAGTGCCTGCAGACCAGAGGTCCATATACGAGCTATCAATAATCCGAATGACCCTTTATAGCAAGATTCCAATTACAAAAGCTGCACTGGCAGAATTACAAAAAACGACAGAGATGTTAAACTTCCCGGCAGCAGAATGTGACAAAAATGCAGCTAAATACTAAATTCCAGATATATATCGCAAAATTAAAGCGTAAGATGCCGTTAATAAAATTAACTGATCCCAAATATAAGAGTTATAAGTCTTTCAGGTTCAGACATCATCATCTCACCAGAGCACCACAGACTCTATATATGTTACTGAATGTGAGCTCACTAAAAACATTACACACACACACAGAAAGATACACATCCGAAAAACAAAAAACCAAACACCATAAAACTCAAAAAGTCATACATTATAGGAAAAAAAAACTTCTAAACATTCAAGTTAACACACAACAAAAAACAGACAAACTTTACACACAGAAACCAAATACTAAAATAAATAAATATTGTCTAAAAACCAGGATTATTATCTGATAAAACGGTTGGGCAACAATTTTAAGCTATATACAATAACGTTTGCGTGGCTCGATGGGACTAGGTTTACGCGTCCGGATATCATTACAACTAATCCGAATGTCGTTAATAATAAAAAAAATCCAAATATGTGCAACAAAGCTCAATTATGACAAATTGTGAGCGCTGTTTGATCAACATTTTAAATATTTAAGATTTTAATTTGGAAATTTCTGAGATTGCAGTCTTTTTTTCTGAAATGAGTTCATATTTGTGTATATATGCGCATGATGTATATACCATGTGTAAGTATATATATAGATGTATGTATTTTATTCTTTCTTATTTAATATTATCCTTTTTTCTTAGATTTTTGAGTTTTCTAAACGTTTCAAATATAAACATAAAGCTCTATGTATCAATTCATATTGTTCAGAATTCTGAACCATACCACCACGTTGTAAGCGTAAATTACATACAATACCTAATACATCAACATTTATATCTAATAAATTTTTAATAATATTATTAGATTTTTTTATATTATTAATTATTGATAAATTATTAAATTTTTTATAATTAATTATATTTAATTTTTTTTTATTCACATCATTATTTTCATCATCATTACTATTAATAATAATTTTATATAAATTTGATGTTTTACGCATTTGCCTAATACCATTTAGTATTGCAATTAAACAACCGGTACGACCGATACCAGCTGAGCAATGTATTATTGGTAATGGCTGATATTCAAAATTTAAGTAATTATAATATGATATAATATCAATATTATTATCATTTATATAATTAATATTATTTCTATTATTATTATTATTATTATTATTATTATTATTATTATTATTATTGAATTCAATATCACAATCATTATCTAATAAATGTGTAGACATATTTAATAATACATCAATATTTGTTGGTGATTTATGATCTGGCCATTCCTTATACCAATAATGATAGCATATAAATTTATTAAATATTTTTATGCTATTACAATTATTATTATTATTAATATTATTATTATCATTATTATTACTATTATTACTACTATTATTATTGTTATTATTATTATTCATTATATTTTGTACATATAAACAATTTAATTTTCTAATTGTATAACCATCTTTTAGAATTTCTTTTGAATTTTTAATAACAAAAAAATTTGTTTTTGGTATATTATTAATAATACTATCATTATTAATTTTTATTATAAATTTTTGTGTTTTACTATAATCATTATTATTATCATCATTATTACTTACTAATTTTATATCATTATCAATTATAATATTATTATGATTTGTGCATAAATTATTATATGAATAATTGGTGTCATTAATAAAATTGAATTTATTCTCATCATTGATATTATTAGTATTATCATTATAATTATCATCATCATCATCATTATGAGTATTATTTTTTAATTCACTTGATATTGTTGTTAATTGTAATGTGTCATTTGATATTGCATTTGATGACGATGGATTTGATGATCCAATTGCTGATGATATTAATGGTAATATTAATGATGATGATGATGATGATTTTAATAATTTTTGATTATTTTCAATGAATAGCTCATTTGCTGAACTGTTATCATTTATTTCTGATGAAATTTTATTTAAATTTAATTTTTCAATAGAATTACTACTATCATTATCATTTATATTAATAATTTGTTTAGGTGTTGTTGCTAAAGCTGTAGTTGTTGTTGTTTCTATTGTTAAATCATTTACAGGTTTTGGTACATGATTTTCTAATACTTTATTTTCATCAATATCAATTATTATATTATTATCATCACTAATTATAATACTATTATTATTATTATTATTAGTATTATTATTATTATTTAAATTGATTAAATTAAAATTTAAATATTTTTCAAAAAATATTCTACAATCATCTGTTATATTATCAATGTAATCATTATGTAATGTTATAAAAATAATTTCATTTAATTTAGTTGGAAAATATTGGCTACATTTTGGACGTTTTGATTCAACAAAATCAGTTAACATAATTATTTTTTGACTATAATTTAAAAGTGAATTAAAATTACTTGATGACATTGATGATGATTCATTTAAAATTTCATTTTTATGATCTAAAACTATATTATCATTGATTTTTAATATACTAGAATTAGTTTTTGTAGTATTTTTTGTATTAGTTGTGATTAATGTGGAATCAATAGGAATATTAATATTAGTTGAATTAGAAGTAGTTGTAATTGTGGTATTTTTATCATTAATAATATTAGAATATATTATATCATTTGATTTAGAATTATCATTTTGTACTGATTTTATATCTGTTATCATTTGATGTTGGTTTAATTCATCATCATCATTATATTTCTCTTGTCGTTGTTGTTGTTCTTGTTGTTGTTGTTTATTTTGTTCTTTACAAATTGTTGATTGATATTGTTGTTTTTCTTTTATTTGAAATTGTTCCATTAAAATTGTTTCATTATATTTAATAATATTTTGATAAATCATTAACCAATGCTCATATAATGTATTCGATAGTGGGCCTTGTGCTGCTATATAATTATTTCGATTATAGTCCGGGCCCTAAAGGGATAAAAAATATTATATTTATTTATTAAATAAGGAAGCAATGAATAAAATTAAATATTATTAATATATTACGTATTTAAGTATATGTGTTTTTGTGAAATTTTAATTTTAAATTTACTCTCAATACTTCATAAAAATTAATAAAATGTAAATAAATACGAATGATTTGCTTTTCTCACCATTAAAACGGGAAAAGTATTTTAGTATAATGCATATATCAATGAATGACTATATATATAAATATATCAAAATTATACTCACTTTAATATAATTTGCATTGATATATGGTTCCCCTAATACATTATTATCGTTTTTCAATATAACTCTCGAATGTTCATTTGGTAGTATAGTGCGATATCGATTTTTACTTTGCGATCCAAATACAAAAGGTTTCTCTTGAAAATTTGTTGGTAGATCCCAAAATTCTTGGTGTAATTTACAAATTAACATTTTCTTTTCAATATCATCAGGTATATCAAAATTTATTGTTATATCTAATATTTCAGTTGATTCATCATCATTTATATTATCTATGACATTATTATGATTATCGTTATCATTCAAATTTAATATGTTATCATTTTCCAAATTTAGATTATTTGATTCATCATTAACATTTTCATCTGCTATTTTAATTTCTTTAGAACAATCTCCAGTTGATTTATTACTGTTGCTATTATTATCATTAGTATTGTTAATATTATTGTTATTATTATGTTTATAATGAGATTGTTGTAGTTTTAATGATGAATTATTATTTTCATTATTATTTGATGATGAATTTTTATGTAACACTTCAATATATGTTTCCGTAATACTGATACGTCTATTTGGTAATAACATTGAATTTGACAATACAGGATGTGCGATATCATTTGTTAAATCAGTCGATGTTGTTGGTGTTATTATTGATGTTGTAGATAATAATGGAATTAAAACGGTTTCTTTTAATATGGAATTATTATCATCATTACATATTTTAGATTTTGTGTTATTTTCATTAATAATAATAGTTGATGGTTGATCTTGATCATGTTTTATGGTTTGCTGTTCTTCCTCTTGAACTTGTTTTGGTTGTTCTTCTTGATGATTTCGATCTTGCTTCTGAAAATCTTCTTCTTCTTGTTTTGTTTTTTGAATGTCATTTGATCTTTCTTGTTGACTTTGTTTCATTTTAATTTGATCAACATTATTATCAAATTGATGTGCTAATTGTAAATCATCACTTTCATTAAAACTACTATCAAATATGTAATTGAGTTTTCTTAATTGTTGTATATTTAATATATTTGATGCATTTTGTAATAACTGTATATTAGCCAAATATATTTTAAAATCTTCAGAAGTTGATTGTGGTGACAATGGCCTTGTTGTTATATTTCGAACACCAGTACATGAACATAAATTACTTTCGCCAATAAATAATGGCATTTTTGATGAATCGTTTAATGCTGAAAAGTGCTGCTGCGTTTGTTGTTGATGATTTTGAGAATTAATCAATAATGTATTTTGATATTGTTGTGCAATTGGTGCCATATTACTATTATACACTTTACCTAATAAAATATTATTTGTAGTGAAATTTTGTTGCGGATATAGTGAAAATTCTGATTGCTGCTGTTGTTGTTGTTGTTGCATTGTTGAATTATAATACAAATTTTTATATGGTTTTAAATCTGAGACAGAACCAAAACATGTTTTTGATATATTTCTTAAATGAGTTTGATTAATTTTTGAATATTGTGAATAATTATTTAAATTTTCTGAACTTAAAAATTTTCTTTGATATTGTGCTGCTGTACCCATTGTAGTACTATTTATTACATCACAATTATTTTTCAAGACATCATCGTCATCGTTTATATTATCTTTATTTTGTTCATAATTGATATTTTGTGTATGTTGTTGTTGCTGTTGTTGTAATAATAAATTCTCATAACTATTTTTATCTCTATAATTTGTGTTGATACTATTTAAACTGCATGCTGATGATCTTAAATTAATATTTGATATACTCAAACAATTATCAATATTAAAATCATTTTCAGTACTATTCATATGCGTATTAGTATTATTAATATTATAAGTACTATTATTAGTACTATTACCATATATATTTAATGTTAACGATGCATTTGAATTTCGTCTTTCTAATAAACCTTTTTTACTACCCATATTATTATTCAATTTTATCACATTTTTACCATTTGTGGGCGAATTTTTATTATTGCTATTAAAAATGGCATATGTACTATTACTATTACATATACCTGATGATAAATTAATTGATGATGATGTTATATGTTTTAAATTGTGATGCTGATGGTGATTTTGATTATGTAACTGATTTGTATTTATAATATTTAATGAACTATGACTATTAAAACGATTTAAATTCATACATGATAAAGCATTATTACTATTATTTCCACCATGTATATTTAAAGTTAAACTTGTATTAGAACCACGACGTTGTAATAAATTTTTTGTTGTCGTTGTGGTTGTTGTTGTTGTCGATGACGCTTTTACTGTCGTTACCCCAATCATACTTGTAGATATATCAGCTGTTGGATTATAATTTTGTTGTTGCGTAAATGAAAATGATGATGATGATGATGGTACATTATTGTAACCAGTAATTAATAAATTACTACCAGAAATTGAATTACTAAATTTACATTTAATATCATTGTCAGCATAATTACTGATATTATTATAGTTATTATAACAATATAAAGATGAAGATTGATTTTGATTATCATTACAATTGTTTTTGTTGTTATTATATTGTAAATTATTATTTGATTTTGACAAATTATATTGTGAATTACTATTATTTAAATAATAGTTAGATATACTTAATGTATTCGCTAAATTACCTAATGAACCTGTACTATTAAGATTAAGCGTTAAACTTTGATTTGAACCACGTCTTTGTAATAAACTATTAGTACGTTGCTCATAATTATATTTAATAATATTCTTATTATTATGATTTATATTATCATTATTATAACCAATATCACTGTTGTTACAATCAATATTAATACCAATAATATCGGTAGCATTACTATTATTAGTTTTGCCATTATAATTTATGCCATGAATTTGCGAATATTGATGTTGAAATTGTTGTTGTTGTTGCTGTTGTTGAAAATTTAAATTACTACAACTACTTGTTACTGATATTTTACAATTATTCTTTTTATTGAATGAATTTTTAATCGAATTACTGCCATAATTTTTATTATTTTCGACATTATTTAAATCAAATTGTGTAGTAAAGTCACTTAATGGCATAACTTCTGGTAACGTTTTTAAATTATTATTTGACAAACTTAATGCTGTATATTTTTGTAATTGTAATGTATTACCAAAAATGCTATTATAATATGAGCTATTATATTGTACGGACATTGAACGTACTTGTTGCTGTTGTTGATATTGATAATTTAGTTGCTGTTGTGATTGTTGATGTATTTGTGATTGTTGTTGCTGTGACACACATTCTTTATTTTGTTGTGCTTTACTTTTGTGTTCTTCTTTATTATTTTCCTGTTGTTGTGTAACAGGAGTATTTGTTATTGATTTTATATTTTTGTTGAATGTTGTCGTAGTTGTTTTTGATGATGCTCCTGTTGTTGTTGTCGTTGTTGAAACTCCTTCTGTTAATGCTGCTGCAGTTGTTTTTGCACTTACTGATTCTATAGGTGATTTATTTTCTTTGGCGTAATCAACATTTTCTTCATATGGTGTCATCATCATATCAGCTGATGATTGTACATTATAACAATGATGATTAATTTTTTTTCTCTTCTTTTTATTTAAAGATGTTAATGATGATGATGATGATGAAAATGTTTTGTTGATATTTGAATTACATTTTTTCTTGCATATATGACATACATTATTTTCATAGTTTTTATTTACATAACTATTAAATTGCATTTTATTATTGATACAATTACAATAAATTATTTTATTATCATCTAAAACATCAATGATATCATCTTCACTGTTATATGATGTGTTAGCAATACTATTACAATATAAATTACTATCGGATATTGTATTCGGTTTCGCAATTATAACATTTAAATACAAATGATCGCTATTATGCTCATCATCATCGTCATCATTATTCTCGTTATCTTCAATTAATTGTTCAATATTACAATCAACTTCATAATCGTCATCTAATGTATTTTCATTGAAACTACTTAATTTTGATTGAAAACTAGAATGTCGATCAGTCGTTGTTGTTGTTGTTGCTGAGCTACGACTACTATGATCGAGTGATGTTGATGGTGATAACATTCCATTCAAATATTTATTTGTTATTGGTAATGTTGTTGTAGATATTGGTGTCGCAGTTGTTGCTATTGTTGTTGTTGTTATCGTACTATTTGGATAACACGTTACACCACAATTAATTATTGATTTATTTGAAGTACTTATGTAATTACCATCACATACAGTTAATAAATTACTCTTTGATGATGGTATTATTTTATTATGGAAAGTTTTATGTTTCATATTAGAGTTGTTATTATTTTTATAACATTGATTATGATAATTTATTTTGAAATTATTATCATTGTGTATGCTGTTATCGCAATTATCCAACATTATTTCAATGTTATCATCTTCATTACCACCACCATCATCATCATCATCATCATCATCATTAACATCTTCATTATCATCCATATCGTCATCATCATCATCTATAAAATTTGGTTCTTCACTATTTCGTTGTGACCGTCGCTGCTGCTGATTATGAAAATAATTATGATGATGATGACTATTATTATTAGAGTGTATTTTATGATAAAAATGATTATAATGATAGTTATTATGGTGTAATTTTTGTAATTGTATCATTGAACTTGATGATTTCTTCTTAGTAATTAATTTTTTATTTCTAATTTCTGGTGATAAATAATTATAAGATGTTATTTGTGAACTATCATTATCATCATCGTCAAACTGATCATTATTTTGATTATGATGATGATGATCGTCATCGTTTTTCAAGTAAAAATTATCTGATGAATCTAATGATATAGCTTTTGGTTTTGACCATAATGTTGGTGTTTTTTGTTGTATGAATGTTGATGATGATGCGTTATGCATTTTGTCAATCTTTGGTAAAATTTCTTGATACTCAATATCAGTTACTTTTCCTCCAGCTGCAGTATTTTTTGCTATTTTGGTTACTTCTTTTTCAATTTCATTTAAAGCATAATTAAATTGATGATTATATTCTACTGAATTATCTAAATTTTGATTACTGTTATATGATTTTAATGATTTTTCATTTAGCATTGATTTAAATTTTTTATTTAATTTATCATAATAAATATTTGTTGATATTTGATTTATTTTATAGGATATTTGATTAGTTTCATCATTAATATCCTCACAATTATTATCATAATTATTTATTAACAATGATGACGACGATGATGATGATGATGGTGACAAATTTGTTTTTATATTATTTTTTTTATGCACTAATAACTTTGTTTTATTATAATCATTATCAGAATTATTGAAGTACTTAATATCAGGTTGATTAGCAATTTCAATTAGTTCTTCAACTGGTACACCTAAATTATCTTCAACTAAACGTGCACCATCTGAATCCAATGATATTGATTTTAATCTTGCTCTTCTAATAGCTGATGATGGTGGTTGTGATTGTATTTGCAATTCTTGTTTTTGTACTTGTTCTTCATTTACATCCAAGTTCGTCGTTGACATTTGTGTCTCAATTGGTTCATATAAATTATCGATACAATCAATAGAAAAATTAAATATACTATCATTTTTCATTAACGATTTCTCAACTGATTTTATAGAATTTTTCCCATTTTTATATGGTTCATTAATTAATTTTGTTTGAATTCTAGATAAATTTTGTTTTGTGTTTTGTGCGTTTTCCGGAATTATTTGTTGCGTTTCAAGATTATCATCATTAAGATTTACATTTGGTAATTCAATTATTGACACAAAATTTTCATAATTTTTTTCCTCATAACAAGAATTATTATCATTTTCACTTTTTTGTTGTAATAATTGTAATTGTAGTTGTAACTGATCTTGTTTTGATTGTTTTATTTCTAATTGTTGTTGTTCTTCTTCCAGTAATCGATTCCCTTGTTGCAATTCGGGGTGCAATTGTAAGTTTATTTTATTTTGTTGGTGGTGTAGTATTGACTTTTGTGAAGTTCGTATTGGAAGTTGTTCTTCTAGTTGCTGTTCTTTCTTTTGTTTCTTTTCATCTATTAATGTTAGTTTTGATGGTGATAAGATATCTTCTTCTGACACTTTTATACTTTGTGCATTCTCATTATTATATTTGTGAAATACGTCGATTTTGGGTTCGATTATTATTTTTAATTTATTTTCATTAATTTGTGATTGTGAATTTAATGAAGATATACAATCAACTTCTGGAAATTTGAAATAATTACCATAACTGTATGTGGCAGGGCTATATTCAAAATTTTTATTATTTAGAAATGGTGATATTGTTGCCGTTGTTCCTCCAAAGCTTGTTGTTGTTACCGTTGTTGTAGCTAAAGCGGTATTTCCTACTGTTGTTATTTTTGTTATTTCTTCTTTTTCTAAAAATTCTGATGATAAGGGAACCTCAATATTATATTTTAATTTACAATTTTCAATCATAATATTTTCAGTTTCAGTTTCTGGTATATTTAATATAATGGCAGAATTATTATCAAGTAAATTAATTTGTTCATGATAATTATTTCTAGTATCTAACAGTAAATCATTTTTATTATGTTCATTATAATTTGTTTCATTTTTTTCAAATGTTTGATTATCAATTATTAAATTGTTACATTCCCTACAATAAAATTGATTTAAATTATTATTACCATTATTATGAAGTAAATTATTTGAACAGCTAAGATTGTCATCAATTTTAATTATGAATTTTGTATTTTCACTATTATTATGATCATTTTTTGAATCTGTATCATTATTTGTATTACTATTATTATTATTAAAAATTGTGTTATCGTCATTAATAATATAATAATTAGAATTATTCAATTTATCATTATTAATTAAAATATTTCCGCTTACTGCATTCATGGATTTAGTATGGATATCAGTTTGATTGGTGTTTGATTTTAATTTAATATTATTTGGATTTATATTGTTAAATGAATTTTGTTGTAATAATTCTTCATAATTATTAAATTTAAATATATTTTTACTATTAGAGCATTTACTACAATATTTATTCATATTATTAGATGATATTGTTATTGGTTTTGGTGTTAAACTTGGCATTGCTGTCATTGTTACATTTGTGTTTGTAGTTTTTGTTGTTTGATTTGATGAAGTTGATGATATTGTTATTGCTGTTGAATTTATTGTTGGTGCTTCCTCTGTTGTTTTAAATATTGATGATGAAGGACATGATAATACTTGTGTTGTTGATAAAGACGATAATAATGAATTTGTTGTTTCTGATTTCGGTGTAATCAAATTTGATGAATAAAATAATGATGTGAGTGTTGCTTGCGGTGATGATGATGGTAATGATATTTGTGATGGTAATAATAATGATTTTGTTTCTAATTTCGATTGTGTTGGTATTGTTTTTTCTGTTGTTTTTTCTATTACTGATGTTGCTTTTATTAAATCATCATTAATATAATAACTTTTTAAATCATTAGATATTGATTTTGATTTGTTGGAGTTTACAGATATTCTTGGTGAATATTTTGGTACAAAACAAGTTGTTATTTTAGAATTACTTAATGTATCAATATTTTCAAATGTAAATTTTAATATGTCATCATTTTTATTAGATAGTAAGCTTTTATTTGATGACAATATTGATGATGATGATTGTGTTGATGTTGTTATATGTTTATCATCAATATTTGTGTTAGATAGTTTAATTTTTTCTAATTCTTTTATATTGAAATCTTTTATTAAATCATTATTTTTATTTGATTTACACGGCAAATCGCAATTAGTAGATGGACAACTATAACGTCTTACTTTATTTTTACTATAACTATTATTTTTTTCATTAAATTGTTTATGTTTATCTAAACTATAATAAATTTGGTTATTCGAATTATATTGATTCGATATTTGTTTATTATTTAATTGCTTTTCTTTATTCATATATGAAGATTTTGTTGTTGAAGACATTGATGACATTGATGACAATGAATTGAAGAATAAGATTTGTTGCTGTGACTGTTGTTGTAATTGTTGTGATGATAACGATTCTGATGATTTATAATAAATATTAGCACTTGATGGCGGCGGCGGTGGTGGAGATATCATTTTATTAATTGAATAATTATTTATTTGATCATTATCAGATGATATTGATTTTATTAATAAAGATTTAATTTTTTTTGGTTTCTTTTTTGTAATATTATTAGTGTTCTGATTTATTTTTATTATACTATTATGATCATATTCATTATTATAATTACCATTGTCATTATTGCCAATATTAAGTTTATTATCCTTATTTTTATTTATTATAGCGTTACTTGATTTATTATTATCTATAGCTATACCAATTGATGATGACAATGGTAGTGTTGGTGATTTCGGAATAAAATTCAATAATTCACTATCATAAGATCTGCGTATTAATTTATAATCAATATTTCTATATAATGAATCATCATTTTCAGGTAATATTGTTTCTTGTTTTTCTAATCGATTTCTTATTGCTAATGATGATGACATTGATAACGACGATTGTGAACGTTCTATTGATGCTGTTGTTGATGTTACGGCGGTTGTTGTTGCATCGATTCCGGTTATTGTTTCAATATTGTTATCACTAATTTTTGACTCTATAACTATAGTTTTAATATAAAAAAAAAGGAAAATAAAATTTAAATTAATCAATTATACTTAAAGTAGATTTAAAAAAAAACAAGTAAATTAAAACAATACTACCCTAAAAAAAATTTAATTGAATTCGAACAATTTTAAAACTGGTAATTATTAAAATGAAACAGGCGTTTCCTCCAGTCTTTAGAGTTATTAGAAAGACATAATAATAATTTTATTTCAAAGTCTTTAAGTTAATATTGGTTGGTTGGTTGACGAGGCCGATGGTGCAGCATGTCTACCGCACTCCAATAAATACCAATGTACAATTTGGCTACCACCATCATCCCACGAATACCATTGCCGTTATTTGCCCGAAACCACAAATTTATATAGTTATTTATAGGTAGTTTTGTTTTATTATCATAAAAAATTTATTTTATATTTACTTACCTGGAATTTTATTTATTTTATGAGACCGATTTTTATATTTTTTATTTTTACACCCAATTTTTATTTCATTATCATTCATATTTTTATCGTTTTGCATATTCCTTACCCCTTCTCCTTTTACAATTTCTTTTTTTGTTGTTCCATTAATATTTTTAGTTGAAACTTTATTTGTTATTGAATTATCTTTAATTTTAGAAATATCATTATTGATTAAAAAATTACTTTTATTTTCATAATTATTTATTAATTTATTACAAATAGTTTGATTAATAGAATTACTACAACTAGGAATAAATTTAGTAGTAGTAGTAGTATTAGTAGTGATAGTACTAGTAGCATTAGTAGTACTAGTACTAGTAGTAGTAGTGGTAGTAGAACTACTGCAAGTAGTATTAGTAATTATAGTATTAAATTTATTATTAGTATTTTCCATAATACTTCTTGTTATTGGTTTCTCATTATCATTATTATTAATTTTTGTTGTATTATTATGTGATGATGATGATGACGCTGATAATAATATTTCACTTTTATCATTTTTATTATCGTTGTCATTAATATTATTACTATTATTATTATTGTTATTATTGTTATGTAGTGATATATCAGTTAATTTTGTTATTAATGAATTTGTTTTGAAATTTGATATTAAATTTACTTTTAAATTAAATAATTTAAAATTGTTATTAATATTTTTATTGCTATTATTATTATTCTTTTCTTTATTTTTATCAATTGTTTTTTGTAGTTGTTGATTTTGTACTTCCTGCTGATGTTGTTGCTGCTGTTGTTGTTGATCCTTTTTAGAATTAGAAATGTCTTTTTGATTTAAATTTTTTATTTTTGTATTATTTGATAAATATTTAATCAAATAAAATATTAATATAAAAATAAATATCAAACTAGTTAATGCTACTGTTACTAAAACACTTGAAAATTGTATTAATGATTTTGATACATCATTTTCTAATGATACAACATTAATATGATCAAATTGTGTTATTGATTGTTCCTGTTGATGATTAATATGTTGTTGTTGCTGTTGTTGTAGTTGTTGTTGCTGTTGGTGAAGATTATGTTGTTTATATAAATAATGATGTGGTTGTTTTTTTAATAAATTTTTGTTATCAAAATTATTTTTCATATCATTTACAACATTCGGATAAAAATTATTTGAAAATTGTTGATAATTAATTAATGAATCACCAACATCAAAAGGCGATGATGGTGAAGGTGATAAAACTGATAAAGCGTTATTTGTTTTTAATATATTATTATTATTATTATTATTATTTAATTTTATTTTTTGTTGTCTTTTAATGAATTTTTCATTATTATGTCTAATATGTAATTTATTTTTATTAATATTTTTTAATTTATCATCATCACTATTATTAATATTTAATAATTTATATTGATTATGATTTTCATTTTCTTTATTACTACTATCAAATAAATTATAATTATTATCTTTATTATTTATTTGTTTTTGTAGTTCTTGTGCCTTAATTGTTGAGAAAATAGAAGGCGAAAAAGAAAAAGAAGAAGATGATGAAATTTCTTTATTATTATTAGATTTAGATGATTGTGATGATATTTCAAGATCTGGTGATGGTAACTGTGAGTTTTTTAGCGTTTGCTTGCGATTAATTGGTTCAATTTGTAGAACAGCTGGTAATTTTACTTTTGTAGATTTATATAATCTTTCTGATGATGCAATTGATGCTAATGATGATGATGATGGTAGTGATAATGATGACAATGATGATATGAAACCGTTATTAATCGATGTTTTTGAATTTATATCATCGTTTTTATTTAAATCATCTTTTACTTCAAAATTTTGTTGTTTTTGAAACAAATTCTGTTTGTGTTGTTGTTGTTGTTTATCAATTGGGTTCTTATTTAATTTAATATTATTACTAGCTGAACTTCTTAAATTTAATTTTTTAAATGTATTAGTCCTTCTTTCTTCTAAAGATGGTAGTACTTTTCTCTGATTATTCTGTTGATAATTATTTTGTTGTTGTTGTTGTTGAATATGATATTGATTGAAATGATGATTAAGATAATGATAATGTGGTGGTGCAGGTTGATTTTGAGAAGAAGATTCTAGTGATAAACGATTTTCGAAATTTTTTTTTTGTTGTTGTTGCTGTTGTTGAACTAATTGAGATTCTATTTCTATATAATTTTGTTTTTGATCTTCTTGTTGCTGTTTTTCTAATAATTGTTGAGTTTCTAATTGTTTTATTTGATTGTTTTCTTGTTGACTGTTTCTGAAATTTTGGTTTTTTTGTTGCCATTGTAAATTTGAATTTCGTTCTTGTGTTGGCGATAATGATGATAAAAAATTTGATGAAGATAATAATGATGATGTTGATGGTTGATCGTTTAATTGTTGCTGTTGTTGTTGTTGAATTGAATCAATTAATTTTGAATTAATAAAAGAGTTATACGATGATGGTAATGATAAAGAAAATTGTAATGTTGAAGTTGGTGATATTTTTGAAATTGATTCACGTCTTATATTATTATTATTATTTAAATAATGATCCTGATGATATGATCCTGAGAATCTTGTATAAATTGCTGGAAATAAATTTTGTTGTTGTAACTGTTCTTTTTGTAATAATTGATTTTCTTGTAGTTTTTCTTTATTTTCCTGTTCATTAGATGTTATTTCTTTAATTTTTTCAATAAAATCTTCTTTTTCTAATATTTTTTCATTATTTTCACCTTTATTATTTATTAATTCAATATTTTCTTGGTTACTATCAATTTTATCATTATCAATATCATCTTTTATTTCATCTTTATCCTCATAATTACTATTATATATTGATATATCATCTTCATAATTATTTTTATCATTTATTAGTTGTTCTTCTTCATATTTGCCATTATTATCGTCATCATCATGTTCTATAGATTTTTCATCGTCTTCACTACTTTGTAATTTTGATGCCATAATAATTTACTCGATTACCTAAATTTTATATAGATCTATTTTAAATAAAATCTATTTTATATAACAGGATAATATAAATTATGATTTGGATTTAAGGAAAGTAAAATTTCGTTAATCTCGCGTTATTCCGAAGCTTTCAAAATATTTGTTTCTTTTCTCTATACGTATACATATTTTTCTATACCCCTCTCCTATACACTTATTATAGTTAAGGTATAGGGTGGATATTTTGAGCCTACCACAACCTATTTATTTTACAAACGAAATTTTACTTTAGATTACATATTCTAAAATTAACTTACATTTTATAACATTTATTTTGTTTTTGCCTTTTTTTCTTCAACAATTAAAATTTTTGAATTTTCTAAAAAAAATTGAATAGGAGAAGGGGATGTCAATATATAGTTTCTTTACTTTTTTTTGCTTTACTTTTTTTTTCTTTATATGACTTGGATTTTAAAAGATGTGTGACTATATCTGTAAATTAATATAAAATATATATGTATAGGTACAATATGTAAATATAATTAAAAAAATGTAACGCGAATTTTTAGTTTATGCGAATGAATTTTTCGTGTTATAATTTTGTTTTTATGTTAAATATGTTGTTGATTTGTTTCACAAATTATTTTTTTTTTATTATTTTTATATTTTACTATATGTATTTTGTAATTCAACTAGGATTTAGTATTGAATACAATCAAAACATATGAAATATACAATTGGAATCGGAATTTAGATAATAAATTCATTAAAAGATACAAAATATTAAAAAAGAAAATATAAAAATTCAAAATTCAAAATTGAGGAAACATAAATTCACATTATCCAAAATTATATGAATTAATAAAATAATTGCATGTAGTAATTTTTAATATTTTTAAATAAGAATACTCAACAGTTCATTTGACTACGGAATAGTCAAAGTTAAAAAGCCACAATTTAATATTTTTGAGGAACCCACATCTTAGAGTCTGAGTTCTAACTGTAAACGGTTATTTATTAAAAAATCGCGGAATGGAGAATGATTGACATATGCTTATTATTTCCTTAACAATATTTAAATATTTTTTTTTAATTCTGAAATTTTGTAAACGCAGTTAAATACATTATACATAGTGAATTGTTTACTTCTGCAAGTACTGCGAAATATTGCATACTTTTCCATAAAAAACGTTGTAATAAGTGAAGATATCGTTTAAATCAACAGTGTTTTTCGTGTACCACCCTATTTTTGTCACTCCTTGTCCCTAAAATCTTAAATCTTCACAAAAAATTTTTTAAATTTTCGGAGTAAATGGGTGGAAGGGGTATAAACTAAACACAAAATTTCTCTGTTTTTTTTTTAATTTATTTCAATTTTAATGTTTTGTCATATATAGCATATTTTTAAAGAAAATCTTTTATACACACATGGAATAATATAATTATAATGTGTGTATACAAAGAATAGGTACACAAAAAATTAAAAAAAAATGTATATAAGTACCTACAATGTACCTACATGTTTTTTATTTTAAAATAATAAAATGATTTTATTTTAATTAAAAAAAAATTATTTTTAAGAATCACTATGAATTTTATAAAATTTTATAAAACAAAATAATATTTCACATAATTATTATGCACTACTTATACTTCCACATACAGAAATGCAAATACAATATTGTTATCCTTATGAGAGTCCTGGGGCAAAGAGAATTTATTACTAAGAAAATTCCTTCTTTGCAAAAATTTCAAAATACAAAATTTTAACTTTCCGTGATTTACGAAAGTTTTTTGTACTTGTATTTATTTTTTTAATTAAGAGATTTTTTTACCTTTTTAATATCCCGAATAATAACAACTTAAAAGGAAGTTAATTTTTCTATATAAAATATTTTGTTATTTTGATATTTTGTTTTTGTTTCGTCCTTTATTTTGAATACATACTTATAGTTTTTTAAATATTGTGTTTTCTTTTATAATTTTTTTGTTATATTTTAATTATTATTAATTTTTTCAAAACATGATTAAATTATTTTTCATTTTATTCCAAATTTTTACTTTTTATTATTTTGTAATGTTTTATTGTAGATTTATTTTGTCTATATAAGTTATTTTTTTTATTTTATAATTTCTTTAAAAATGAAATTGTGTATGTATATGTTGTGTTTTTTATTCTTTTCTGTTTTTTTTTTCTATGATTTTCTTCTTTTCAGTAAAGTTTTGCCAAAGAAATTTGAAAAGCAACAAAACAACAAAACTAAAATATACATATTTAGAAAATTATATTTATATGTACGTACATACAAATAATATACTTTCTGGTATACAACACATATTTATCTATATATATATATATATATATATATACATTAAAAGTCAATGCCTCTATATTATTTTAAGCCAAGATATTTCAATTCAAAAATTTGTATATACTTAATATGTATTTATTACAGGGTTGCCGCCACTCAGAAAAAAAAAATTTTTATAGAAACAAATGAAAACGACCTATACTAAAACGACCGGACAAAATAAAATGTGATACAAAATTTTGCTATACAAATTAAACAAAATTGAAAAATATTATTTCAATTTTTCAGGCAGTCTCAAAAAAAAAATAGAATCCAATTTTCTAAGAAATTTCTGACACTTATTTATAAATAAATACTATAATATATATATATATAGTTTACGACAACGTATTTGACAGTAAATAGCTTTTGTATTCAGCAATGTCAACATACCATCAGAATAATTAATAATATGCCGCTTATATACGGACAGAATTTCTTATGTCTTATTTGTTCGAACTATTTTTGGGTTGTACGACGTCTCGCCAAAAGATTAATTCATTAGTTATAGAACTCATTTTTCATCTTGACCCTGATCTATTACTAATTCAACTTCCATTCTACGTTTTGCTATATTTGCCATTCTACGACTTTAATAAAATTTAAACAAAATGTACTCACAAGATACAGAAATATTTTGAATAATAAAATACTATAAGTGAACACAAGAATTTGACACACAATATTTCTACAGCAGTGTTATATAAAAATGGAATTACTATAAAAATGTTATATATTATGTATTAATGATTACAACATCGATGATGCAATTCGGATTGAACAAGAAATGACACTTAATTTTAAAAATAAAAAGTTATTGTAGGTCCTTGAAGGTTTTAAGTCGTAATGACTCTTCATTTTAATTTACATATTTTAATTATTGTTCTTTATTAAGATAGTAGAATCAAAACCCATAAATTTACAGATTAATTAGTTTTGAGTTAAATAAAAAAAATGCTTTGGGAGTAATTCCGCTCTCATATTTCAAATTATATTATTTATACTCGTGAAAAAAATGATCTTAAGCCTTTTTGTAAAGTAATATTAATGATAAACAAGACATTTTGAATAAAAAACGTAATTTAAGCATGCAAATGTGGGATTTTGTTGTAATTATAGGCAAATAATGGTTTCAAAACGTTTTTCAACTTCATTTAAACAATAATATAAATTAAATTTGTTATGTATTGTATAAACAAATTTAAAAAATTGCAATTTTCTCTAACGTTATATTGTAACAGATTATAAATTTGTCCTAAACTTGTTTCATAAGAAATTTGTCTTATAAAAACTATTAAAAACCTTTTTCATTCAAGTTAAGTATAAGTAAATTATTTTTAATGCCAGTATAACTTGATTTGTTTAAGTAGTTGTATTATAAATGAGGAAGTTTTCTCTTGTAAACTGAGCTAAACGGTTACATACTCTCAAAAGCCTTACCGATCTTTGAAATCCGCCAATTAGTACTGCGTTTCACGATAAAAGTAAATTATGTCAAACTTTAAATCTGCGAATAATGTATTTTGAAACAACATTTTACGGCTATTAAAACTACAATTCAAGCAAACATGGAATTTTATTACAAAAATTTTTTTTTTTTGATTCTACTATCTTCATTCCTATTTAACTGAACCGCTAGTAATAAAATATATTTTTGTGTTTCTGTAGAATATAGAGTAACTTATATCAGAAATTATTTTATGTATAACAGAAATTTAACTTTTATACTATGTATATGTACATTTAAATAATATTGCATATGCATGTACATGAAGAAACAGCTACATATGGTTGTTTATTTTATGTATAAAATAATGTCAATTAATATTACAATAAGATGATACCAGATCCAGGATATATATTATAGTTATAAGTAAATGATTCTTTTCTATAAAGCCTGGAATAAATTCTATTCTATGTTAGACCTGGCTTCAATCATTATAAAAAATGTACAATGTAGGTACCTACCTCCATACAGATCTGCAAGTTATCTACTGACAGTTCACAGCTGACGAATTTAACGTATTATTATCAACTTTTTTCAAATTTTTAATTAGAAAAAGTTAAAATTCAAGTTTTTTTCTACTAGTGCTTACATTTCTAAGATGTAGTGTTAATAAACCATGAAAAAATTTATATAAAAAAAATCTATACGCTACACTACAAGAAAAAAATATCTGTAAATTCGTTTTTTTCTCGAAGTATTAAGTTTATTTTTGCACACTTTTTTCAAATTTGAGAAAATGTATATTTGACAAGGTTGCTATTATGCATACCGCTTATATATAATTACATATACTTATTTCTATGTATTTTTATTGTAAATACTATATTAATTAAATTAATATGCTTCATAATTCATAAAAATTATTTCATATGTGTATTTTTTTTATATTAAAAGTCCATATAATTCTTATTAGGTACGTATGTAATTTTAGTTATTATATTAGGAAATATTTTCATATTGTTAGTAAGTCTAATTCACTGATTAACCTAAACTACCGTATCATGAACATCAAAATTACAAGTTTCTTTATAATATTTTTATTGTGTTTCTTTTCTTTAGGGGATTTCTTGAAACGACGCTTTTTTTATATAGATTATAAAATTATAAAAGCACTGTCCTAGTTATTAAACTTAAAATCAAATAATTACAAACTTAAATTCTAAATTAAAATCTAATCAAATTTTTATGAACTTAATTTTAAGTCATATATTCTGGACTAAAATTTATAACACCAAATTTTTTTTATTCAGTGTATTATCATTTTTTACTCTCAATTCTCTCAGATATGTTGCCTGACATGGCGGTACAAAAAAATGCAGAAAAATTATTTGCAATTTGAATTTTTAATACCTATGTTGCTCAGAAAACTCCAAACTTCATTTCATAAAAATGTTATGATTTCAATCAACTTTTCGCATAGAAAACTCGAAATGAAAATAAGCCAAAATCATCATTTTTCCAAAAAAAACAACAAAAAAAAAAGGGAGTTTTCAGAAATGTCATTTCGCTTAAAATACATAATATGTAATTGCATTCACAAAAAAAGCAGTGTCCAGGCCTTGATTTTTTATAATGTCAAGGAAGAACACGAAAAAAAAATCATTCATTTACGACGCTTGCGCGTTTTTCGTTTTATATTGGAGGGCTTTTTAGATAGATACCAATTTTTTTCGTTTTGTTCTTCTTTTATAATATTAAAGCAAAAATTTCTATTTACAACGGAATTTTTAAAAATATGGAATACACTCTACAAAAGATTCTAAATTAATCTTAAACTTAAATAAAATATTTTGATGTAGGTATACCTACATATTTAAATGTAGGCACATATACCTATTTGCTATAGGTGCATATGTTATAATCAACCATTTGATTAATTTCTATATAAATAAGAAATTGCAAATTTGACGGTAAAGATGAGACAGAGAGATAACGAATTGAATATCAAATCAAATCAATTTTGATATTCAATAATATTGCTTCTGATAATATATGTTGTATAGCTATAGTACCGTGTATGCATATAAATGGTTTCATATAACATTTTAATAAAGAAATACTAAAAACAGATCATGACCAACTATCAGTAATTTACACGGGGTCGCTGTTTATCATTAAAATCACACAGGCTCCTCTCCCCTTTCTTTTATAAGATCTTGCCTACTAAATTCATATATGTAGATACAGTTCAGTTGTATTTTTTGTGTAACGAAAAATGTATTTAGTTAAATATATGTATGTAGGTAGATAGGTCGGGTCAATCCATCTTTTTTTAAAAGGTAGGAATAATATCATAAATATATATTTTGGTATATAGGTAAATATATATTGGGTATTTAGGTATATGAACATACTTACATCTACGCAATGTGTATAACAATTGTATAATTTCCACATCAGGATACTATATGAATAAAATGAATTGATACGGATCTAGTGATTGTGTTTAAATATGAATTGTGTAGAGTATATTTATATAATAAAAACCGAAATCTTATCTTAACACCATCCTATACACAAATTATTATGTTTATAATGTTTATGCATAATATACTTGATTATACATATCTATATATGTTTATGTATTATGTAGAGTAATACTAAAGGACTTGAAAAATTCAGTTTCATAAAAACAATCACCCACATTTTGTTAGTCACATCCTACTTGACATGAGAAGGGTACTTAATAAGATTTAATTTTTAAATTTGAAATTTCTAAATGAAAACTAAAATATTTTTCAATTGTATCCCAATCCCTTTGAGTGAGCCGAACAAAATTATGGGTGAATACTTTTATGTTGTTTATAATTTTATTTTGATTAGTAATTAACCAATTACATATTTTTATTAAGGGAAACATTTTATTTTTTTTTAATTATTATTCGAAGATCGTTTAGAAATTTTCTAATTACATGTTTTAGTTGATATTTGGATTCTTGCACCATTGTGTATACAAAAATTTTTCTTATTACACTTATTGTATATACAAAATTTTTTTACATATGTACATACATGTATGCCTGTAAATATACTTACAACAAATTGTTCGACGATTTTTTTTGTACTACGATAATGCGAATTTCAATATCGATTTTCGGTAAACAAAAAATTCAACTTTTTGTAGTTTTTTTCAAATAAACTTAATTGTTTTTAGCTAACTTTTTTATTTTGTTACAACATAAATTTTCAAATGAAATAACAAATTTATTTACAAAAAAAAAACTATATTCTTCCAACTTTTCCAAAAAAAAAACCCCGTTGTTTTAATTCTCACTTTTTTATTTTGTGTTATCTACTACTACTGAGTCAAATATTTTTGACACTTTAATAAAACAAAAAAAAACAAATTATATTTATGAAAAATTATTGAAATGTCATAAATGACAATTCTGTATTATTACATTGACGGCTGACAGAAATAGCAATGATTTTTTGTAATGTCAAGCTACGATTATTTATTAATGTTCAAAAATTTATATATGTAGTAACTTTACAACATTTTTCAAGGATGACAAAATGGATGGATAGCGCGTAGTGTGTAAATACGCTTATACGCATAGTGTAAGCGCATTGAACACACCGCGCAGTATATTATTTAATGTTAATAATTTGTTATATTATGTAATTTTATGTGGGTATAAAATTTTTTGCTAGTAATAACAAAGAAAAAAACTTTTTTGCAAATTTAAATAATGAATGACCAATTTGATATGAAAGATTTGTTATTTTGATTTGCTATTATTAAAGGAAGTTTATATTGTTAAATTTCAAGTTCGCGCTTTACATTATGTCAATTGACAATAATAAGAAAACTCAGTTTGACAAAAATAAAAATAATTAAAAAAAACAGTACCTACCTTGTTGTCAAAATCAAAAATTCCAACACGTTGCGTAGGTCCGTAGCTAATTTATAGTTTACTTAATTTAAAATGTACGGGTATAAGTTATAACATTTTAACACTGAATACAGTTTTAAAATGTTTATAACATTTGAATACAGGTTTTGAAGTTTAATGAATTAAAAAGAAAATATAAACAAAAGAATCATCATTTCTTGCTTTCAAAAATTCATCTTTGACATTTTCAATGACAACATTTCCCACATAATGGTACAATTGATAAGAACTGCGTATAATATATTTTGTTATATTATTTATAGTTTTATGCCGTAGACATTTTTTGTATATCTATTGTTTTATATTATGTTTTGATTATTCACGGCTGACAGTTGTGTTGTATATACATACATATCATATTTTATATATTAGCTTATATAGCTGACAGAATTTTTGTCACCCCGTGGTGGTATTATCATAATATTGTTGGTAGTATTGCATGATCAATACGTCATATTATTATAAAAAAAAGATCTTTTAATATTTTTTCTTATTGTTGTTATAACACGTCACGAATGTCATACTTAAAACTACATAATATAGTACATAATAAAGAATTGATAAATGCCAAAACAGAGATTTATTTAAGCAGTAATTAAATGTAAAACATATATATATGTATATATGATTATATTACAGAAAAAAAAATATTTTGTTTTAAAAATTTTAATCTACAAAAAATTATTTCGGCTGATTTTTTCTTTCTGTTTTTTTCGCTTCCATTGTTCATAAATAGAGAAGTTTTTTTTTTGGATTGCGATCTTCAAACTGTAAAAATTAATAATAAAAAAAAATAATTTGTTTTTTTTTAAGAAGTTTTTTAGTCATATAATTGTATACACAGCCAAACACACAAACAATATTTGTTCCCATTGTTTTCATTTTTTTATTATTGGGAATGAATTTTGAATTTGGATTGTAGAAGAGAAGATTGTAATAAAAAAAACAACAATATGATCTTTAAAAATGAAGAATAAAAATATGATCTAAGGAAAAAAATGGATTAAAAGTAAAAAACATCTAGTATTTAGTAGGAGAAAAAAATATGTATGTTAGAAATTAAGAAAAAATATCAAGAAAAAAAAATTAGAAATCAATTACGAATTTGCATTTGCAGAGATGTGGAATTGCTGTTATTTTGTTGTTTTTATTTTAATGTGTAATATTAATAAAAATCTGGGCTGAGAACACACAGAATCTCCAATAATTTATGAAGATAAAAAAAAATAAATTAAAAAAAAAAGGAAGAAAGTCATATATATTTGCAATATTAACTACCAAAACTGGCTAACCAAGCTGTAAAAGAAAAAAAAATAAGTAAAATAAATTAGAAAACAAAAAAAGGAAAAATAATAAAAGCACGTTCAAAAGTCTTATTTCTTATTAAAAGTAAATAAAAGGTAATATTTTATGCATAAACAAAATTTAATTGGTTTATTTAAATAAATTTAGTTAAATTTACAATATTTTAGAAATAAATAAGAAAAGAAGTAAAAATATTTACGAATATTCCTCTTACAATCATCAGTATTCTCATCATGACCTTAGGTCCTATTGACCTTATAATTGGTGCATTTTAACTTAAATATTGGATAAATGTTTTTTATACTCTATGTTTTTTTGCATGAAAGTATACCAACTATCTAAATTTTGTATTTATGTATATAAATATAGACGGCTTCAAATATATAGAGCTATATTCTAAAAGGGAACTTACAATAAAAGTTTTCACTGCTTCTTAAATGATGAATGTCTTTAAACTATGCACGCATGTACATATGTAAATATGTAACTTTATTAGAAATTTCAAATCGATTACATCAAATATAGAATTATATTCTAAGTAGAAATCAAATTTAAATCAAAAAATTAAACTTTTGTTTTAAATTAGTTGAAAGACACTATTAAATATTGTGTATTTGTATACCTATTTAGAGGAGCGTTAGGTTTATGTAAATATTATTTTAAACGACCTTTTACCTAAAATTGTTACATTCTTTTTAAAACTTAAAAATTGAAAATTATGTTAAATTAAATATAAAATCGTAGTTACTTTTTTTGATAAATTAGTAAAGTTAATTTGAAATAGTAACAAATTTCTTATTGTTGAATTTATTTATTTTTTTTTTTACAGTTTAAATGAAATTCAATATGGAAATCTTTTAGAAAACAAAATCAAAACTCAACATAAATTTAGTTATGGATTTTCTGACAGATACAATATTTTCAGAATTTGGTAAGTTTAATTTTTTATTTAATTTTTTTGCTTCAAATTTATCCTGTATATTCCTTATTTTTCATATCATATACATTTTAAAATTAATTTTTAATATTTTTATATCGAATATAATATTAGAGATTTTCATAAACCCAATATATTGTAAAATAATAACTGCGAAACGCTATACTTACTGCAAAACTACATAATATGATGAATATGCAATTTAACTATGTAAATTCTAGAAAATCAAAACAGTTCATTATGATTTAACTGTAGTATAACATACTACTTTTGCTATATTGCAAAAAAATTAGCTATGCACATTTATGAACAAACTAGGTTAGCAATATTTTTGTTTATGAATACAAAATATAGCGCAGTTTGAGCATTATATTATCGCGATATACTGCGTTTATGAAAATTAAAACTATTTAACATAAAATGGTAAGCACCATTATACAACAAAAAATTTTTGACCATACTATTACCGGTTTTCGTTTTTGAATATCTTATATATTTTTCATGTAAAAGTTCTAGTCATTTCAAAAATTCATGTAGTTCTTTTCAATAAATAGTAAAAAATATCGTAAATCAAAAAAGTGATTAATATTAGTAACAAAATACTTTTGTTATACTATTATTATCCTTTTTCCCTATTTAATTATGTTAAAACACATTGGCTCTTAAATTTTTTTTTTGTTATTTGTATATTGTTATTGTCGGCATTGACAACCTATAAGTTGTTTTTCTACCGACCGCATTGCATACAATAAAGCAGGTTATCGGATGGCATCAAATTTCATATGCTGAGCTTTCGCCGGAAATGCATTTTTCCACATTAGGAAAACGTAAATAAACTATTTTTGTAGACTCTTTTTCTGCCTGTAAAGATCAGTACCTAAAGTTCGGCTGAACCGATCGATTTTCGCGAAAATTAAAAAGTCTGAATTTACTTTGAGTCAGTTTGCGTCGATATTGGAATATGTCAGGTTTTCGAAACTGGATCTTTACTATACATGTCGATTTGACATTTTTGACTATTTTAAAGAAAATAGTTAAGGATTTTACTGATATTTAATATACATGTACAAGCTCCGTAACTAACAATTTAACAAATTTAACAAACCACCTAATTATTGAGGAAATGATGTGTCGCAATAACTGAACTTTTACTATAGGGGTAAATTAGACAATAAATTTTGCAGTTAGTTATGTGTTGACCATGTTGTTATGTTATTGTCGGCATTGACAACATCTGAGTTGATTTTTTTTCTATGTGTTCTAATGTGTTTAAATTTTGTTTGATCGATAATTTGTGTGTGATAATTTATACAGTAAAATTCAGAGATATTCGAAGTGGCATATTGATATTGAAAAAATTTTTGTTTTTGATTTACATATATAAATTAATTAAAGAGAAAAAGAGAAGAATATTAGTTTCAAATAAATTTTTAGTCTTATAAATATAATTTTGCAGAATTAATTAAAAATTAATATGATTATGTGAATAAATTAAAAATAAAAGTAAAATTAAATAAATAATTTTTGGAATATTTTTTAACAAACAATTACTGAAAACTATTAAAAAAAAATTCAAATAATTTTTTTTTTTGATTCATTCAAAAATAAGTTGTGTCTATGTGTGTAAATTAAAAATTAAAAATATCGTGTATTTTTTGAATTCATAACAATTACCAAAAAATAATTAGGATTTAATAAGATTTTATTTTAATAATGAATAACAAATAAGTACGAAAATTAAGAATTATATAATTGTATACGAAAAAAATTAATGAGCTATAAAAAGTCGCCCAATATGTTTGTATTTTGTACATGCAAATAAAAATCTTCGTATATCGTATAAGAATTATTTCGTAGGGTTGGTTGAGAGGTTTTCAAGAATTTTGTATTTAGACGCACAAAATGCGACTTCTCAATTATGGTGATTGCCTATAGCAAAATCACCACCATTTAATACAAGGGAAAGTGTGAAGAGTGAGTTAGGAGTTAAAAATTGTCAAGAGTTAGAGTTAAAAAAAAAGTTGAGCTACAAATACTGTTCTACAGCCCATAAACCCATAGTTAAATATATATTTTAAATTTCTAGAAAATATACAGGCCTTAAAGCACCTTTACTACTTAGATCAAAATAACTAGAATTAGAATTTATAGTTAGAATTGACTTTTATCCCCATTTTTTTGTGTTTATTTTGAAAGTGGCCTCAGTTCATTTTGCAATTTCAAAACTCTTGATTTCCAAAGTAATATGATAATGGCAATGTTGTTGGAATTGGAATTTATATTGTTAAATATAAGGATACTTTAAAGGAAATAACGATAGTTTAACTTAAAAGTTGTGGTTATTTTAAACCCAAACGGAGAATATGGACTTAGAGGAGTCGCTTTCAAAAAAAGCAATTCACTAATATTACAGTATTTTAGATTTCCATGTTGCATTTTTTATAAACATACGATAATGTTATACATCATAGTGTTAAATATGGTACACCTTGCTATGAATTCAAAATGATTTTGAGCTTAATGATTTAATTTTTTGAAATCTACATATAATTAAATTGAAATATTGACAAAAATTTAAAGTTTCATATAATTAGTATTAAAAAGTTTACATAATATACAACATTAGTACACCATATATATAAAATGGAGTATGCCAGAAATATTACAGGTAATTGTAAAAAAAATTAAATATATACCTAGTATTGGCATATTTATTTTTTAACAGAATAATTGAATATTTTATAATATTGTTGGGTTTCCAAAGAAAGTAATAATCATGGTTCTAACCCTCAACTAAATGATTTATTTTAACGTAAAGACTTTTCGCAATATTGAACTACATTGCATATAGGAAAATTAAGCTGTATTCTTTTAATAAATTAGAAATTCGGTTTTTTTCTTTTCTTCTATTGAAAATACTGAGAAGTTACTGACGTTTTTAGTACTTAAATGCGAATTCTAAAATTTAAAATCTAAAATACTTTACAAAATATTTAGATATGAACCTATTATCTTTTATATTTTCTTAAATTTATTTTAAATTTTAAATAATATATTTATATTTTCTAATTATTTCATTTTTAATTCCGCAGAAAAATCGGATTTTATTAATGGAATTGATAATGAAGCATTAGATTTTTGTCATTTAGAACAATTTATGCATGATACATCATCAACGACAGTTGATTTAGATGCAAATGTTCAATCAAACAATCAACAAAATCAGCATCAGCATCATAATCATCAACAACAACAGCAACAACAACCTCAATCAAATCATTGTATTCCGAATAATCAAATATTACAAGAAAATTTTATTTACACAAATTCAAATTCAACTAGTTTAAATAGCAATAACAATAATAATAGTAATAGTAATAATAATAATAATAAAACTAATATTCAAAATAATAAAAGTAATATTAATTGTAAATATAAAAATAATAGTAATAATACAAATAGTATAATAAATAATAATTACAACAATAAAAAAAATTCAAATTGTGAAAAAAATAATATAGAAACTAATGATTGTGTAAATAATAATAATAATAATATTAAATTTAATTGTAAAAATAAAAGTAATAGTTCAAAAGACGATAGTAAAAATATTAATACTGTTAATAATAATAATATTAATACCTTTAAAGATAAAGGTAATAATATGAAAATTGTAGACATTCCAAATATTATTAATCATAGTAATAATATTGATAATAATACATCACGTTTAATAAGTCTTCCAAATTCTTTAAATTATCAAAAAGATCAGTGTGACAATACAGTCAATAATAATAATAACAATGATGTTAACAATAGTAACAACATAAAAAGCGATTTAAAAATAAATTGTAATAATAGTAATAATAATAATAAAAATATGAAAAATTGTAAAGTATCAAAAATAGCAACAACATCAACTTTAACATCAAATAGTAGTACACCAATTTCATCTTCATCATCATCATCTTCTTCATCAACTGTACCTATGCTAACAGTATCATCGATAATGAGTTCATCATCATCATCGTCATCATCATCTGCATCATTATTATCAAATCAATCACATTTACCTGAAAGTCCACCAGATTCTGGTTCTGAACCGCCCTTTAGTCCGACCGATATGAATAGTTTAAACCCAGGAACAAATTTAACATCAAGAAATATAATTGCAACATCTATAAAATTTCCAATCAATACCGTCCATACTGTACAACAACAACAAACGAATTGCCATTATCATCAACAACAACAGAGATCGCAACATCAATCTGATAATGTAAATTTTAATAATAATAATAATAATAATAATAATAGTAATAATAATAATAGTAATAAAAATAATAAAAATAATAATAACAATAATAATAATAATAATAATAAACGATTAAATTTAATGAATTTTTCGCAACCTCCAACTCCTGGTCAACAAATTGGTGATTTAACAAATGATATTACAACGTTATCACGTATAACACACAATAACTTACATCACAATAATAATATGTCATATAATATTGAACAACAACAGCAGCAACCACAAGAACTAAAGCAGACTAATACGCAAACTTTGTTAATGAGCTCAACAAATAATGATTCCGGCTATAATAATGATCAATTAACTAATTCATTTTATAATATAAGATCTGATAATCGTAAGTACTTACAAAAAAATTAGTTGCAACTTAGAATTCTAAAATATATGTATTCAAGTATTTAAATGTTTTTTTTTTTATTTTTAAATAAGATTCACAAGATTCTTCTATACTTGATCAATCAGTTTTAATATCGAAATCGGAAGATGTTTTATTAACAAATGAATTTCAATTATTACACCAGCAACAACAAATTCTTGATTTAGAAAGAACATATCGAAATGATATTTTAAATAATGGTAGTTCACCGATCGGAACAGTAAATAATATACTAAATAGTGGTGGTATACACCCAGTACAATCAACGCTTGTTTCACAACAACATGAACATAATAATAGTTTAAATAGTTCTAGTAACAATAATAGTAATAATAACAATACTAATGATGATAATATTGTTAATGGTGATAATAATTTAAATATATGTCAATCAAATATTATGAATTTAGTTGGTATATCAACTACAACAGTAACAGTAGCACCATCAGCATCTGGTGATGATATAAATCGCTTATTACCTGATGTATACTCAACACAATTATTATCAACTTCAGATACAACAAATGATACGGATATAATTGGTGTAGGAACTTTATCACAAAATGGTCATATTGGGCAAATTTCTGTAACAAATCAATTATCGTCGCCTTTAATTAATCCTCAACAACAATCCCAGCAATCTATGCATCAATTACCTTCACCTTTGATGTCATATAACAACGGAGGTCGTAAAAGAAAATTATCGCAACTTAGTTCAAATGGGTATTCGTTACAATCACCTCCACCATCTCACCCGCAACGACAACATCCACAACAAAATAATACGTCTTCACAAAAACAGCAAAATCATCACAACCATCATAATCTTAATCAACCCCTTAACCACCATAACCAACCATCACAGGAGGAAAATGTACAACAACATATTGAGCAATCACCGCAACAACAATCTCAACAACATCTTAATCACGTTTCAATAATAAAACCTGAACCAAATGTAATAAATGATACGTTGAGTCCAATAATACAATCGACAAATTCGGATTATCAACAGCAAAGTCCGAGTAATGATTATAATTTAAATTTGTCACAACAATCGTCGTCCTCAGTTTGTCCAAATTTATTAAATTTAAATTCAATTAATGGAAAATTATCAATTCAATCATTAGATAATGGAATCGATTCTCAAATTATACAACCTCAACAAAATATACAACACCAACAACAAGACTCTAATCAAACACAACAACAAAATAATTCTGATCTATCAGATGCCTGCCCACTACAATGTATAAGGTTTTCACCATTTCAGCAACATAATTGGCATATATTGGTTGATCAAAATTTACAAGAATTGCCAGTACCACATTTTAGAGTTGATGCTGATAAAGGTTTTAACTTCAGCAATTCTGATGATGCATTTGTATGCCAAAAAAAAAATCATTTTCAAATAACATGTCATGCACAATTACAAGGCAATCCTGTCTTTATAAAAACAACAAGTGGTCTTGAAAAAATTAAATCATTTCACATACATTTTTATGGGGTTAAAGTTGAAGCAACAAATCAAATAATACGAGTTGAACAAAGTCAGTCAGACCGATCAAAAAAACCATTTCATCCAGTCCCGTAAGTAAATTAATTTTTTTAATTAGGTTAAATCATTATAATATACTGCCTAAACTCTAATACTTAATATTACTTTGGATATACTTTTTCAGAGTTGATTTACAAAATCGTATTGTCAGTAAAATAACTGTTGGACGTTTACATTTCTCTGAAACTACAAGTAATAATATGCGGAAGAAAGGTCGTCCAAATCCAGAGCAAAGATATTTTCAATTAGTTGTTGGATTACATGCTCATACACATACTGGTCAGTATGCTGTTGTAGTTCAAGGAAGTGAACGTATCATTGTGAGAGCATCAAATCCCGGTCAATTTGAAAGTGATGTAGAATTATGTTGGCAACGTGGTTTGACACAAGATTCAATATGTCACGCTGGCCGAGTTGGAATTAATACAGATAGGCCAGATGAAAGTTTAGTTATACATGGTAATTTAAAGGTATCGGGTCATATTGTACAACCAAGTGATAGTAGAGCAAAACGTGAAATAAGCGAATTAGACACAGCTGAACAATTAAAAAATTTGCAAAAAATTCGTGTCGTTAAATATCGTTATGAACCAGAATTTGCAAAACATTCTGGTTTAAAAAAGTCACCAGGCTATAATTGTTACAATAACCATATTCAGAGCAGTTGCTTTAATGATCATAATAGTTTTGAAAGTAATTCTAATGATAATATGAAAAATAGTTATGATGATAATAATAAATATTCCAAAAATAATAATTCCACTGATTTTAATGCTGCATTAAACAATGAAAGTTTTATGTCTAATAATACTTATGTTGAGGATGATGACGATGATAATTCAGAAATAATTGATACTGGTGTTATAGCACAAGAAGTACGGGAAGTTTTACCGGATGCTGTTAAGGAAGCTGGGAGTATTGTATTACCTAGCGGTCAAGTTATAGAAAATTTTTTACTGGTTAATAAGGTATTTATTTTCTTTAAACTTTTATATTGTTTTTAATCAGAGGCGATATTTGTCAAACTGCTTGTTTCTTATTTTTGTACGTTTGTATATGTATCTTATAATGAAAAATTGTTCCAATTTGTTGTAATCTCTTAAAGACTAATTACTAAAAATGTGCCATTGTTACATGCTCAAGGACTGTAGAACAAGAACTGAATTAGCTTGTTTTCTTTAATATAATAATTACGAAGAAAACATTGAATTTTTTGTTTATTATAGGATCGAATTTTGATGGAGAATATTGGAGCAGTTAAGGAATTGTGTAAAGTAACTGGATCATTGGAAACTCGAATAGAACAGTTAGAAAAAATTAATTCTAAAATTTTACATATACAACAAATGGATCGAAATCATAATTGTTCAAAAAACTCTTATAAATATTTACTAAATGATTACTATAATAAGAAAACTCACGATGAGTTATGTTCAAATGCAACAATACAAATGATAATTATTGTTTTAGTCATTATAATGGCAGTATGGTATGTAATAAATTTTTTTATAAAATTACGGGGATTTTTCTATAATTCAGACAATGATCTAAGTTATGAGTTAAATTTTCAAAAATCCCCTATGTATTAATCAAAACTGCTTATATGATTTCTACTATATAAATTTTTTTTTGCAGCCTCACAGCAATTTCAACTCTTTATTTTGTTGAAAGAGCAAAAAGAAGCTATTCAGATCATACACTACACAATCATGAATTAATATCAAATAAAAACCGTATTGAAGATAGAAATTTCAAATATTTTGATAGTAGCGGTATAATTAATGCTGATCAGAATAATAATAACATAAATATTACAAATATTAATAACGATTACAATAATAAAAATGATCGAGATTTTATTCATCAACAACAATATCATCAGCAATTATTACAACAAAAGTTTCAGCAACAACAGCAACCATATGAACTATCAACAATACGTTTTAAAAATTTTACAACAAAATTTCCAAATATACAGCAAGAATATTATTCAATATCACTAATTAATAATAGTATGTCAACAACAATTTCACCGATTATAACAATAACAAAACAAGATCATGCGGAACAAAAATATTTTAATTTAAATAGTAAAAGTATTAGAAAAATTTTAAATAACCACGACAGTCATAAAATAAAATTTGATACTAATACTAATAATAATATAAGCAAAAATATTGTTAATAATGAGAATAATAATAATGGTGTTGAGCATGGAGATAACCATACTGATAATAACAATTCATATAATGATGATAATAGTAAAAATAGTAACATTAATTATAATTTAAATGAAAATAAAGAAATTAATAACAAAAATGAAAATAATCAAAATGATAATAATAGTTATGAAAATATTAATAGCAGAAGTAATAAAATAAAAAATGATAATGGTAATTATAATGAAAACGATAAAAAAACTGGCAAGGCAATTAAAAATGATAATGATAATAATTATAATAATAGTAATAATAAGAAAGATAACCATGATAGTAACAATGATGAAATAGAAAATAATAATAATAATAATAAAAATGATCACCTTGTTGATGATATCAATGACAATATTTCCAATATGAATAGTGGCAATAGTGGAGGAGATGGTGATACTGATGTTAAAAGTCGTAATAATAGTAATAAAAATAATAATGGTAACAATAATACCAACAATAATAATCGTGTTGATACAAATAATAGTATGTCATCTATTGAAGTTACTGTCCCACAAGATGTTGAAAATAATTCAATTGACAGTGATCTAATACAAAAACAATTACAAAAGCCATCTTCAAATGGTAATATTTTAATATTTGATAATTTTATTAACTTTATATATAAATATACAATACATTTTTAACATGTAAAATAAATGTTCGCTGTTTAATTGATAAATAATGAAGTAACACTTTCAGAAACTTAAACAGTGTTCTATTTTTATACTATATTGATGGTTTTAATTTTTAACTTAAATTCTTTATTTTTTATATTTGTTTTTTAAATAAATTTCCTATTTTTTTTTTTTTGTTTTTAATATAGGGAAATCTATAAAAACATATAACAAGGAAACTATTAAATGCGAAAGTAAAATAGGAACAACAACAGCGAGCAATAAAACAGAACAGCAAATTCATCATTCGAATTACAAAAATGATAATAAACAAATTAACATTTACATTAATAACAATAATCAAAATGAGAATGATAATCATGGTGATGGGAACGATAATAATAATAATAATGATAACAATAATAACAATAGTAGTAGTAGTAGTAGTAGTATTAGTTACAATAATAATAATAATGATAATAATAACAATGATAGCAATAACTATAATTATAACAATAACACTGTTAGTTATAATGGTAACAGTAATAGAGATGATAATATTAATGTTAAAAATGATAACGAAGAGGAAGAAAGTTGTAATGATCATGTTATAGTATGTAAAAATAATAATAATAACAAAAATAATAGTAATAATAATAATAATAAAAGTAGTGATGATGATGATGATGTTGATAATAATGATGATAATAATAATAATAATAATAAAAATAATAATAATAATAATATCAATAACAGCAATATTGATAATAATAATAATAGCAACAATAAATATAGCAATATTAATGTCAGTTACAATATGAATAATAAAGACAATAATAAAAATGAGGATAAAAATGTTGAAAATAATAACATGAACAATAATAATACAAATACAAGTAATAATAATAATAATAAGAATAATAATAATAATGACAATAATGATGATAGCAATAACAATAAGAGGAATGGTAATATTGATAATGAAGAAGGGGATAATAATGATGATGATATTAAAAATAAAAAAATTAACGATGAAATTGTTATTATAGACAAAGGAAAAAATAGGAACATTGATAATGAAAATGATAATAATAATAATTTTAATGATAATATAACTATTGATAATAATAATGATAGCAATGAACAATAAAAATAAATATTTTATTTTGGGTATTTTATAATATAATAAATATATGTAATTTATATACATAATAAATATATGTATATAAATATATATTGATATTTTTGTGAAAAAAAAAGAAAATTTTTAATAATTATGTGATAAAATAACGGAAAAGTAAAATATAATTATGCACAGTTTTTGACACAAAATTTAAGGAAAAATGTCATCGCAATTTATTTTACATACATTGTTTCACTTTTTTTGTTCATATAATAGCTTCCACGTTTCTTAAATTTGAAATGGATTTGATAACGATAATATGGTGTGTAATATATAAGAGTTAGAATATTTTTGGTGTTGATGCTTTCATCATATGCTAATATGGTTATTGTTTAAAATATATTGTTTTTTGCTACGTTATTCCATACGAAATCTGCTAATATTCACTCTTCAAATTTATACCGTATGTGCCTATAAAAAAGTTTAATTTGATTATGAAAATGAATTATGAATTAATTGACTGCTATGTCAGCATTTTGTTTTACCGGCTACTTACTATAGTAGGAAGCTAGCATGCTAAGAGGAACAGTTTTTATTTTAAAATAGTTATCATGTTTAGATGAACAGTTTAGTGATTATGTATACACGAATCCAGTTAGAATAGAATTTTCAAAGCATTTTAGAGTTGAAATATTTAATAGCTTATAATATACATACATAAATTAAATTTAATAGTAAAATAAATCATGTTTATTATATACATATAATATTTTAGAGCAAATTTAATATAATAAAATAATTAAAAGATCATTATTATTATTATTATTAATGTTATCATTATCATATTTATCGATTAAACACCAAATCACGAACTATAATTATTAAGTATTACTCTCACATCTTTATGAACTAAAATTATAATCTTAAATGTAATTGCCAGTATTGGTATAACAAGCCAGAATTTGGTATAACATTAACAAAAAAAAAAAATATTTCACTATATGAATACTTGTTCTCCTATTAATATTTTCCATTTTTTTATGTCAACCTAATTATATTTCATTCATATAATGAAATTTGATATGAATAAAAATTTATGAACTTGTATTTATATATATTTATGATCAAAACGTAAATGTATACAAAAAATGTAAAGTAGAAAAAACAAGAAATAAGTGTATCCAATAATGCAATTTCCATTTCTCGAACTAGCAAAAATGTCAGTTTGCAGTAAGTATTCCTAAGTTCTTGAAACGCAACATATTCTCTTTTGTCAATACTTAACATGCTGCACCTTATCAAAAAAACCAACCAAAAATGTAGTAGTATACTAAGTTAAAACAGAATTTTCAAAAGCGTACCCAAAATAAATTTTAAACAAAAAAAAAAAGGAAGAGTAGCAGTAGTAGTAACCAACAGTGTACCATTCCTTTTCAATACCCCATATAGCACCATAAACCCATCACCTGCTCTCGTAACATATTACAACTCCTAGAATTACAAAGGGATTTTGCGTAAACTATTTTTTCCATTCTTAATATAAGACAAGAGAGCACTCACAGAATATATTGCATAATGACTTCCATTAAACACATTCTGGAAATTAATGTTGGCACACTTCTGACCTATGCGCAATACTTCCAAAGCCTCTTGGCTTATTTTATCAAATACTCAAATCTACATATACACAAATCTATTGTAAATATTAATTGTGCGATAACTTTTCTGTTTTAAAAAGAATATGAGCAACAGTTATAATATAAGTATTTTTTCAATATTAAGATAAAATCCTTATATTCATATTATGTAAAAAAATCATAAATTGTTTAAAAATTTAACAATAAATAAAGAGAAATAATTAAATAATAATTGAAATATTCTTTTATATATATATTAGCAAAAGTAAAAAATTAATAAATAAAAGTAAAATGTGCACATACAAAAAGACAAATAACTTTTTCTTCTCTCATCAATTTTAAGTATTAAAAAATATCTTTATGTATTATTCGAACAAAACAAAATAAAATTTAGTAATTTTATTTTATTATGTATAAAAAAAAAATAATAAATTGAAACTTATATTTAATCTATACATTAAATTTTTATATATAATATTATGTAGGTGTAATCGATAATATAAAATGCAGGTTGAAGATTTTGTCAACAACTGAGTTGTATTGCTAAAGCATAACTATCTTAATTATCAACCACAGTTGTATAAGTTATTTACGAATTTTGATATGCAAAAAGTTTTCTTTGGCATAAATTGTTGATTGACCGTCAGATGCAATATTGTTGTCGACCGGCATTATTGACATTATCGATTTTACTCCTTGTAATTGATAAAACACACATAATATTGTAAATTTAAAATTAAAAAGAAAGTGGTTACTTTTTAATATATATAATTTAACATGTATTTAAATATTATAAATCTTTGTTTTTTAAGGGACATATAAACTATTTTGCAAATATTTTATTTTTTGCACAAATATTCAATTATATTAAAATAAAAATATAAATAATTTTATTTTACTTTTTTTCAATTAGTGAAGATTTTAAATAAAATTTTGAAATTGTGTGATCACAATTCTATTCACAGTGTGCAAATAATTTATTTAAATAATGGAAAATATCAGTTGGCTATTTCAATATTTGATTTGGAAATATTGAAAGTTTTTCTAATTAATTACTATAGTGCTGTAATTTAATTCCGTATTTAAACTATTGTATTATTGTTTAAGTAAGCAAAAATTATAGTGTGTCATAATACGAGTATATATAAAAAAATTGACTTCAAAAATAAAATAAAGCCGGCATTTTTTGTCTTTACAAAATATTGCAATATCTACAAATTAAAAACTACAGTCTTTATTTTACAATCGAATATATACATTCCCTGACTTGAAAATTGCATCAAAACTGTATTCATACACAATTCTACTTTATGATGTGTAATTACAAAATTGTGTATTAATACTGTGTTACTCTTTGCATAACAAAAATATTTAAAATAAATAAATTTCTATCAGCCGTAGTATTACTGCAATTTTGAAGTCAGAAATTGCTCATGTATATGTAATACACAAAAATAGTTGTGTATTGAAAGCATACATACGTTAAAAATTGTTTTAATTATGAGATGTTTTTTATTTTTTGTGAAATAATTAAAGAAAAATTTATTAAGTATCCAATATTGTTATTGTACAAATAATATTAAATTCTTAAGTGAAAACAAAAATCTTTTCGATTTTTAAATAAATTTAAAACAAAAAACATAAAATCTTTTATTTTTTTCAATATTGTTTTATGTCAGATTGTAGATTTATTTACCAGGGTAAGAGGGCTTCGTAACAAGATCCAGTATTATCCTTTAATCTCTTTCACAATAATATGGGATGCCGACAGTTCCAACTTATATATATTAATGCTTAGTAATAAGCAGTATTTTTAAAAAAGGCAAGGACTTGAAAAAACAAAAAAACAAATAAGATTATAGGAGTATTATATAAATTTACTTACAAGTTTACACTTATATATTATTAGCGAGTTTATTGTATAATTATGTATCAGTATAGTATAACAGTTTTTCTACATACACATATATATTTTATGTAGACGAGCGACTTTAATATGCTACACAACATATTCTGACAAACTTTTTTTAGTTACGTTTTTTTTCAAATCAAAGCAAACGTAATTAAAGGAATGAGTTTAAGGGGAAAAATTAAAGTTAGTAGCGCTTTCTAGACGGACGCTACTAACTGAGCTACAGAGTTATAAAGAAATTGCCGACGAAATGTTCTTCACAATGCTTTATACTGCTTTATACTAACTTAATGATTATTAAGTATTGTTTACATTGAGATCTTCTATTTGAAATACTATCACAAGAACATAATAATAGGTATAGCCATAATACGTTTTTGAACAAATTAAGTTAGCAAAACTTTGTTTTGCAACACAAAAAATATGTTATTTTAGCACTATATATTATATTATGATATGAAATATCATAATATAATATATAGCTTCTTTTGAAAATAAAAACATTCATTCCCTTTTCTGGCGAACGATAATGCGATTTTTATATTATCAAATAAAATAAAATGTGATGTATAGTTTTTGGAGAGGGGAACGAGAGTGCTACTTTTTTTCCTATTTATTTTACTAATGTTTTGAAGAGAAAAATTTTTTGTTTTAATTTTGTTTTAGTTTATTTACATTCATATAATGTATTTGTTATATATAGGATATCATAATGGGGGATTTCTATTCAAATTTTTTTTATTATTTTTTATTTATTTTGTTCATTTATTCATTTTTTAAGATAAACATCAACATTTATTTTTTATGGTAGTAGGTAATTCAATATGATCAAATTTTTTAATTAGCTTTTTTCTAAATTTCAAAAATTAATATTTTTTGAAAAAATATAAAAAATTATTCTTAACAAATCAAATTTTTTTCTTTCTTAAAAACTTATTACAACATTTTGAGAAAATATAATAAATTATTCATGACAAATCAAATTTTTTTCTTTCTTAAAAACTTATTACAACATTTTGATAAAATATAAGAAATTATACACGACCAAGTAAATTTTTTGAAAAATCAAATAGAAAAGAGGTACAGAGGAGAAAAAATTAAGTTTTCAAATTTGATTGAATATTTTATTTTTTAATTCATTTTTTAAATTTATTTTTGTATTTATGAAAAAAATATTTATCAGTTGTTATTTTCTTATCTTCTTCTTATCCATTTGAAAGCAAAATATTTATTTTTCGTAAATAATAAAATTCTAAAAGGGATCTTTTATAAGGATCTTTAAAAAATATTCTCTTCTTTTTCATTTTGTTTTTGTTACAAAAAAAAAAAATTTTTTATTCTTAATCTTTTTTTAAATTAATGCGAATGATTAATTTAATAGATATACCTTAAATGTATGTATGTTTCAGGCTAACAAAAAAAATTAAATACAAAAATCCTTAAAACTAAAAATATAAGAACCATTTTTCAACAAATTTACAACTAGAATTCTTTTCTACCGTAATATGTTCATTACTTTAGAAATCAGCAAATTTTTTTTTGTTTTTTCTTAGCTGATAATTGCTTAATTATTGAAAATTTAACCTAAACCATAACATTTGATGATTCGGAGTTGTAATAGATAAGGTAAAAATATCTAAAGATATATCTATTTTTTTCGTCTTCATATTTTGCAAAAGTTTTATAGTTTAGTTTTTACTTTAATATTTTTTTTTTGAAATCTTAATTATAAATTTTGATAGCTTTCTCCAAATACGTATATCGAGATCTTTTTTGTGATTTATTAATGTGATCTAGACCCAAATAAGGGAGTGTTGTTGGACCAGCTAAAAAAGAAAAAAAAGTAAATTATAAACTAATCCGGAATAGAAAAAGAAAAAAAAAATTAAAAACGAAATGATTTACGTTGTGTTGAAGTCTGTTTAAAAATTTTAATATCAATCGGATCATTATCACTTTGAAAGTATTCAACACGACCCATAGAAACAATCGCAAATTTATACTGTAAATTATAATAATATTCAAGGTTTTATTAGTGTGTATACATTAACTACAAATACAAAAATAAAATAATTACTTTTTCAAATTCCTTTTCTGGAACATTCAATTTCTTTTGTATACTCTTTTTAGCTGCGCCAATAGTTTCAAATTCTTTTACTTTTATATAAAATGGAATCCCAAATGAACTATAGATTTCTTTGCTGAAATGTGAGACTGGTATTAGAGCTTCATTATCATTAATTACTAATTCATCCCGAGGTATTTCTTCAATGCGATACAATTTTTGATTTGATTGATTGGCCAAAGAATCTGATACGCATTGTAAATCTTTAAATAAAAAATAAATACATTTATATATATATTTACTGAAAGTTAATATACTGTCATTAAATTTATTAATTTATTTTATGCAATTATATTTTATTCGCAGTCAAATATATACTTTCTAATGGAGTATCTTCACGTAGAGGTGGAAATACTTTGTGATTAGCTACTTCCAATAATCTTAATTTCCTGGTACTATCGTCACTAAACTCGATTTGTTTGGTTGCCTCTTCTAATAAATTCTTTACAGTTCCACTTTTATTAGGATATAATACTAGTTCTTTTTCATCTTTCATGTTTGGTGATAACTATAATTAAAGTATAAGTTTGATATTTTTTTAAATAAATACAAAACATTTATTTTATTTCAAAAATGTGAGTAATAATATGTAATTTTTTAGATCATGATTGTACATAATCGATTCTAAAATAATTAGCGAGAGCATTAGTATTCTTGTTTTACACATATATAATAAAATTCAATTATTAATTTTTTTAAAGTTTATGGAAATTGACTTACATAGAGGCACTTAAACTGCTTTTTATTTTCTAATTCATTAATACTCATGGAGAGTCTTTGATAGAATATTTTCTTTGTTGTCCTGGGCTTGTTATATGCCAACAAATCTTTTAAAATACCATCATATACGCAACGTAAAGGATTTCCAGGCTGATCTTTATAACTATAATATATATATCAAAAATATATATATTGTATTTATACAATAATATAAAACAAATTGAAATTTTTAATATTTTTACCCCAGGCATTTGAAAAATTGGATTTTGTTTGGATCTGTATTAATTTTTTTCGCTACAGCTTGGGCCATTTGATCATATGTATATCGATGAGATAGTTCGAGTGTAAAGCTGGAAAAAGAAAAGAAAACTGAAAGTAAGCTTTAAATATTCATCCTATGCAGTTACCCTGAATCATTTGGATTAGATTTTTCAATAAACGTGACTTCAAACCGATATAAAAGATCTCTAAAATAATCATCACAAGTTGGTAATTCTAATTTTTCATCTTGATGTTTTTTCTCAAATATCAGCACATTACCATGTACATCATCGGATCGATTATTTTGTCTTAAGACTTTTTCGATAGTTTCTTGCATATTTGTTATTTTTGATACAACGTTTGGCCCTTGTTCTTCATAAATTGATAATTCTGTATCAATTGGAAATCCTAATTCTTTGTTTAATAATGGAACTAAATCACATATTTTCATTGATAATTGATATTGATCAGATCCTATATAATTCAATCGTTTATATATTGGATCGTAATATTTGAAAAATAGTAATATATCACGGTTTTTTTCAAATGGTGGTAATGGACCCTGATGATCTGGTGATGCTAATTGTAAATAAATTGACCATGGTGATTGTGTTTCAATAACATGTTGTAAATTTCTGGTATACTCTTCATTAAAATCGAAATACACAGGACGAGTTAATTGTGAACGTGAAACTAGTGACCATATACGCATACGACTGGCGTCATATTTAAATGTTTCAACAAACACTTGCATTAATTCATCGACAGTTTGGGTCTTTTTTAATTTAAAAACACGTGGATGAATTTTTTCGTTGTCAAATAAATCAGTTGATTGGTGACCATCAAAATATTCTTCAAGCATAACATGAATAAAAACATAAGTGTTGACTTCAGAACGTTCTCGACGTCTTACCTATTTTATTTAGTTAAATTAAATTTTTTACTTACATTAAAAAAAATAATCATTGCTATCCTTGTATTAAGTTTATAATTACTAAATATTTGAGTATAGCTTTGCTATTTCAATCCATACCTGTTCCATGCGCTTTTCTTCGCCTAACTTTTCTATTAATTCACTTGGTATATCAGAGTTTGCAATATTTTCTAATATTTTTGGTATTGCAGATACCCTTATATATACTAACATATATGCGTTACTACAATGCTTAGCATTTATTGTCATTTCGTCATCTATTCCTCCGTAATTGTGATCGATTGCATCTATTTTACTACAACTTGCCACAACATCATCATCAAATTTACACCATTTACCATCGGCTTTTGGATTTATATAAACTACATAGTGCCCGCCATGATTATCGCCACTATGCACTAATACAGCATGCAGTTTATAATCAGCCGGTGTGTTTTCTTCCTCAGCCAAATACTTATCTAAATTAATATGCTCGTAGAATTCAAAACGATCATTGAATTTGACGGAATTATCGGTGACTGGATCGTATTGAAACCTCATTAAATGCAAGTGTAATACCGGTGGAAAGGATTTAAATATTACACCTTTTTCTGCTTCTTGAAAACCATGTATTCCAGCATCATATTTATTATCTCCCTCTAGTGTTTCCGGTTTAATATAATCATTAAAGCTTTCCTCAATGTTTTTCTTTCCCTTAATGTTCAGTTGAATATCATAAAAGGTCTCAATACGTTTACTGGTATAATCAATATTTTTGCATTTAATATAAGACGACATTTTTCCTAAAAAATATATGGAAACATTTTATTATGAGTTTTATACACATAAAAATCGAATACACACCTTCAAATAACGATGGAATAGTTCCTTCAACGCATGTTCCTTTCATTTTCGATTCTAATTTATCCAAAAGAACTCTTAAAAATTCTTGAACATCATGTTGCATAAATGAATCCAATGTTTCCCATCCAAAACTTTTTGTTAGTTTTTTCGTGCCAACTGGTTTATCAGATGTTTGTAATTCGTGAAATACCCTTTGTAATGCTAAAGCAACTGATTTACTACTATCATCAGCTTCAGTTGGCATTTTATAAACAGCTTTTCGTAAAATATTTGTAAAAAATAATGTTTGTAATAATGAATTCATATAACAAGTTGCACCTTGATTTTTTAAACCAACATAACCCGTATGTTTTTTTGAATCCCAAAATACACCATGCGGTGCTTCAGCTACAACATGTACCTCTAATACAATTGTATCATTTTGTGAATAACCTTTTTCTGGATCAAATATTTCATTCCATGACATAAAATATGAAAAACCCCAATCATTTTCTTTTGAATAAAATAAATGTTTGATTTTCCTAACAAATGGATCTTGACCTGGTTTAAATGATTTTAAACGTAACTCTGCAGCAGCATTACAAGACCATGATGATGATTCACTATCACCATTACATTGCAAAAAGAAACCCAATGACTTTGCATCCGGTTGATTACGATCAGTACGTGGCATTACCATTATTTTCCATGGTAAATTTCTTACAAAACATGGTGGTGATAAAACTGATTCCTTTAGTTTTGATAAATTATCAACAACAAATGAAAATGTTGCTTCAGATCTTATTTCTTCATCAGAACCATCATTACAACCAACGGTTGTTGATGTTACTTCAGACGTCGATGTTGCATCCATACTCATTGCTGTTGTCGTTGAATCAATTTGCGGTGGTGCTATTTGCATTTGAGTGTCACCATTATTTGATAAATTATCGATGTCATTTTGATCAGTTATCATATCACTTTCTTGTGTATCCATAGCTTCAACAATTTGATGATCTGAATTATCAATGATTTTTTGTTGTAATTGTTGTGCACTTAAAACAACTGGTAAATTTCCTTTATTTGTTAATAGTGATTTCTGTAATTGTGGACTTCCATCTGTTTCCATTTTTTATATTTAAATTTATTTTTTTATTTTAAATTATTTTCTTTGTTTGTATTAACGTCTCTCAAAAAAACAAAAAAAAAAAAAAAAAAAACAAAAAAAAAGATTTTACCTAATATATATATATATATATATTTGTATATATATCTTTTTGGTTTCGTTCTTTATTGTTTTTGTGAATTTTAAATCAACAAAAACTAATATGGAAAACACTTTTTCAAATTTTCAAAAATTCTGGAGTTATTTTGTGTGATTGTTATTTTTTAATTATAAAAAGTATTTAAATTTACACAATGAAGAGACGTTTTTTTTTTCAGTTTTTTTTTTTATCACAAAACTAGTGCATCTACTTTTAAATCAAAATTAAAAATTCAATATTCTTTTAATTTTCACACTGAAAAAGAAAAAAAAAAGAGTAATATTATCATTATTATAGTTATAAATTTATAGATTAGAGCCATATTTTATGAAGATGTAAACTATATACGGGTCTCAAATTTACAGTAGTATGATATGAATACAAAATTCAGCAACTGCAGCTCATAAAGCTAAATTGTGTATCAATATCGTTTTAATTGAATTTTATAAAGCCAGTGCGCCGGGATCAAATTGATGTTAGATCTTTATTTTGAGTTCGACGCCCGCCATAGGCATTTCTTGGAAATTTGAATAAAAACTTTTCTATTTCTTTCCATGTTTCTGATTTGGTAAATAACAATTACGAAACTAAAAAAAGAATAGTGTAAACTATGGTAAATAATAGACTTTATATAAATAAATTCCTTTTGTTATAACGTTTTCTTATTTAGATTAAAGATTATGCATTATTTTATCTACATTCTTGGGTCTTAATGTACAAAATTTAAATAACTTATGAACAAATTTGATTTAATTTTAATTAAACTTTATGTTCTGTGTAAGAAAAAAGAATGAATTTGTTACACACTTAAAAACCAAATTTTGAATAATAAACTTTTGTAGTAAACAATAGCACACTGCCATCTTTTTGGATGATAGTTGTCCAAGATGTGGAAAAGCATCAAAAAAATACTAGATTAGCTAATTGAGTTTTTTTTTTAAAGTAGGTACCTACAAGTAAAGTAGTTTTAGTACTTCAAATCTTTTGGATGTTATTAAGAAATCAAGTATAGAATAAATTATAAACTTCGTGAGGAAAACATGCCCAAAATGATAAAAAAAAAACAGCACTGTAAATATCCGAGGGCTTATGGGAGAATGCATTTATTCTACATTGTAAAAATTCAAAACATATTTAGGAAAATCTTTAAAAATTTACTATTCGTTACTATGTAATTGATTCTGCACAAATATACAGACTATACTTAAATTAAAAGAAAGAGATTTAGGTAGGTATACCTACTTTGTTTTCTGAAATATGGCAGTGCAATTAGTAGTATAAATTTGGTATATGTATATAAGTTTTCCTATTAAATTAAAAATATTTTGAAATTTTCTTATGTTGGTAGAAGGTTTTCTCCCAAAAGCCATCGATATATTATATACAATAACATAATAATTATGGTGACATAAATAAATAGTCTTATCGGATGTTCTAAGATTTTATCCTTTTTGAATATTTGAACAAGAAGGGGGCGGTGCAGTTCTTATATATAGTGTTTCTAACTTTAATACGTTTGTCAGTTACCTATTTATCTATATTAATTGACATTTATTTAAAGGAACTTTTTGTTGAACAGATAAAGTTACAAAAATCTTTTCAATAAAAAAAAAAGAGGCCAAAAAAGAAAAAAAAATTTGCTCTATATATAAGTGCTTGTCTGTAATATCAGAACAGAACTCTTGAATCATCGCCCTAAGCTCTCACTCAAAACATCGTTTTTTTTTTCAACAATAATTAGAATTACAGTATCTTTTCTTAGAATTATTTATAATTGTACGTATGTACTATATGTATATATTTGGTATGTAATTTATACATACATATGGATACTATTTATTTATAAACATACATAAAATTATAAAATTATGGTATTTGTTTAAGAAAAAGATTTTAAAATTTTGTTGATACTTTTTGTCATTATTTTTCCATATTTTGAATAATTGATCTGTATATATAAAGTCATATATGTATATATATATATATATAAATGTAGATATGTATTGTATTAAAAGTCTAATATGATGCATCTACATATATATACATATATATGAACTGAAAATATGTGAAATTTTCATATACAATCAGCACTACCAAAAGTGAAGGTTTCTCTTCAAAAAGAAGGTGTTTTAGTCATATTTTTAGAATAAGAATTTCTTACAGTTTCTTTTCAATTTTCCAAAATTTGCAAAAAAAAAAACATTTTGACCAAAAAATCAATTTAAATGGCAACGCATGGTAATGTTACTTCCAAATTTTTCACATTTTCGACGGCAATTAATTCTATATAAATCGACTTAGCGCGTTATCTAAATGCACATACGGTTCATATGTCATTGATTTTTCTTTTGTGGTGTCTGACTTGATTCGTTTGTGAAATTTTGGCTTCCTACTTTTTCCCATTGAACTTCTACTGAAGATCTTGAATGATTCGTGAAACTTTTTGCAATGAGGATTTATTCTAAAAAAATTAAGATATTTAAGATATTTTGGCTAATCTATTTGGCAACACTGTATACAGCAATTATAAATGTCATGAAAATTCATTTTTTTTTTATTTTTTTGTTTTCATTCTCATGTTGTTTCGTCTTTTTTTCAATCAATCAAAATCTCTGATTGTATTTTTCTTCATACAAAAATATAAAATCAATTTATAGCGTTCTCTCTTTCTCCCCTTTTATTTTCTCATCTTAAAACTTATAAGAGAACAGTGCAATATTAAGGTGTTGTTGTTTTTATAGGAACTTTTATTCTTTCATTTTAGATTTACGCGTGGATGTTCATTTGAGAAAAAAATTTCAAATGCTTGGTATTTCGAAAGCACATAAAATACAAAATTAACTAATATGTTGCTTTAAAGCCCTTTCAGAAACTTCATTTGAAGCATCTATCTTTTTCGGAAGGGAAAAACGCTTGAGCAAGTTAAAATTTCATTAAAATCCGTGTATTTCGGAAACCGTTGAGTTTTAACAATTGTTCCAAACAAAAAATTTACTCATTTTTGATACGCTAAACAATATTATATTATTGTACTCTTTACTGAATTACGGTATGTATATATATATATAGGTTTATATATGTATGAATATATGTATATATATTTTGTACATATTTAAAATTAAAGGTTATGTACACACTTTTTTTTTAATAATTTATGAAAAATTTTTGTCTCATTTTCCAATCTGTCTGTCTTTTCCTCTATCTCTCTCTGTTCTTTTTTTTTAATGCCTGGCATAGGGTTGCCACTTATGACAAAATAATGGGAAAAATTTAAAAATAATTCCAAATTAAGCAAAATGTCGAAATTGACATGGTAATGAATTCAAGAAATAAACATTTATTTATTATCTTCAATAGTTTTTCTATATCAAATTTAACATTATGTTATTATGAGAGTCTGCTGTATAAAAAAATATGACCGTGAGATCAAAAATGATTTTAAAGAAATATGTTTTGTAATGTTTGGTGTGGCAGCACTGTGATTCCGCATTTTCTTTTTCTTTAATTTTTATTTAATGCCGTTTTGAAAAATATATACGTTTGAATGCAAATGTGTTCTTATGCATGCGTATCTACATATCTATGTATACATTGTGTTCTTATATATATATATTGTAACATTACTTGTGCAAAAAAACAAAATATAGGTAACAACAATTTCGCATTTTGTTTTTTTTTTAATATGAATGTTGTATACATGTATGTACATATATATTTAAATTGTACAAAATATAGATTTTCAAATTATAATAATAACAATAGAATACATGTATATATGTATGTATTAAACATGATTATTTTTTACCGAATAACTATTTTTATATTTTGTATAGTGACTCTAACTAAACACACTATTTTTTTCTGCGCCTGGAATATACACTTTAAAGCACACATTTACTAAACATATATATTATATATGAATATATATATAAACATATATATGTACATACATATATATTTAAATATTTTTAATTTACGCACAAAAAAAACTATATGTATAAAATTTCTTTTTTAATTTCACACATTGAAAAAATATTTAAGAATTTTCCATTTATTCATTATTAATTTAAAAATTTTGGTTTAAAATTCTTACTTTTTTCAAAAATTATTAATAATTAAAAAAATGCATTTTAATTGTAAGCACAAATTTCCAACTAAAAAAAAATAAAAATCACCTTTCCAAATTTTTTTCTAAAAAAACTTTCTTTCTCTTTCTTTCTCTTAATAAAAAATTTATATTATTTATTACACATATAACAATGTGTGTGTGCGCGCAAATGTATAACACACAATTTTACTATTTGAATGCCATTATTGCCATATTCAAAAAAAAAATCACAAAAAGAGCACTTTTAATTTTTCGTTCATTTCTAAAACTGTATATAACTACATATGTACATATATACAATATACACATGTGTGTACAATAGAATTCTATATTTTTAAAATCAGAAAATCAAAAACTGACAATTTGCTTTATATTTTTCTAGTTTTTTTTTTTTTACTAAATCTTCTATAATTTTTTTTTGTTAAAATGCTCTTAATTACTTTCTCCTCTCCAAAATATTTAATTTTATTTATATTATAAACTGGAATAATGAAAAATTAAAAAAAACAACAATTTTTTTAAAAATATTCTTACTTTTTTCTTATTGTTCAAAATTTTTATAATTAAAATTGATATATTTTTAATTATTCGCTGTTTGCTACTATTTTTGAAAGCCGATTGGGAGGAAAAATATATATGTATATACATATATGTAGTAAAATAATAATAACAAATAAAAAAAAATGACATCACGAAAATACAATTATGACAAATACGATTGAATGATGGACGACAGACACGAATGCGATTTTATTGCAATGCGATAAAAATAAAATCGATTACGTACCAGTTCAATTATATATATTTCGCAAGCGCTGATATTTTTATAGTTTTTTTTAATATTTTATTTCCTATCTATTTAATCCTTATTTCCTATTTATTTAATAGGAAAGTTCGTATTGATAATTGCATCTAGTTCACTTAATCTGATATTGGCCTTTTAAATTGATTAGCTGATCTAGTGTTATGAAAACGAATTAACCACGTTAACAAAACGTAGACATTTCGATTTTTATATAGACGGCGTACTTTGATTTTGTGATTAGTTAAACTGCTGTGCTGATCAAAAGAAAACCAGGTCAAAAAAAAACGAACTCATATCGCATTATTTGATATCAAGGCGCGTCAAGAATTTCGTTTTGATTTCTTAATATCGGTTTTTTAGATTGCAAGTATTTAAAATATTGCTGTCAAAAGTTTAACATTAAGCCTAAAATAAATCCGAATGCTCATCACATTTTATCTTAAATTATGTCATAGATATATTCTCATGTTTAATCTGGCATGGCACATAAATATCTGAATCTTTTTTCAAATCCTTTGTTGCTGCAAATCAAATCAAATGCCAAATATTGGAAATAATAAATTGTCATACATTACTAAGTGAGAAGGAAATTTCAATCGATGAAAAAATATCAATCGCTTTACGATTGGGCATATTACGTAGTTAGTTCGTCTAGTTATCTTTTGACAACGTCAAAGTATACATGATGCTAAACTTAAAAAACAACCCTTATTGCTTCTTAATAAAATAGTTGATTTAATTCTGTAGGTGAAGGGAGCTTGTTTTATAAGATGCAAAAGTTTTAAAGCATTTTAGTTAAGAGCTGCTATTAGCAAGTAACTACTCCTTTAAACCATTTAATAATTTTTAAGCGCTTTATTGGTTACTTAAATCAACACTGTATACGGTTTTCAAGATTAAATTTTTTCTATTTAGTTAAACGTATATTTCGAAAATTGCACGCAAGCCGCGCATTGTAGATAAAAGATGAAGAATTTTATCTAATTATATTTACATTGTGGAATGGAGAATCATTGGTGGATATGAGAAAGAACCTAAGTTTCTTACACGCGTTTTTTAGAGAATTTCGTTCTGTAAAACAAAGTAAAACTTGCATTTAAAATATGAAAAAGAAGTTTATATTCAGCATGTACTTCGATATTTAAATAAAATTAATTTACATATTTTTGATTGGAAATTTGTTTTCATACATAAGCATGTAGGAATGTACTTAGGTTACCAAACTAAATTTTATAGAAGTTGGTAGTTTGATATGTGCATATGTCTATCATTTACCTAGTAGATGAGCATAAAATAATTTTTTGAATTATGACAGAAATAATTTATGATGTACTAACCTAAATATACACCTAAGTATGTACCTACATACTTAATACAAAAATTTGTGCAGTTCAAAATACAACAAATTATAATTTCAAAATTTTTAAATAACTAATTCAGGTTACACTTAAAAAATGTTTATAAAAATATTACAGAAATTTGTTCTTTTTTTAATTAATCAGTTTACTAATTTTGTCATAAACACAAAAATGAATAGCTGTTGTATAACCAGATTTCATTAAAGTTGGCACCATTCCTTTATATAACCCACGTATACCCTCTTCTTTTATTGTGGTTTTCATACAATGTAATATCCCAGATGTAACAATGTGTTTACCAAAAGTTTTACGATGCAAACCAAAACCTTGTATTTGAAGTCGCTTTTTAACTAAATCGAATGGATAAACTAATGTTTTTGACATAGTACCACTCCAAGCTCCCATCAATAACAAAGCCCATGTTGGAAGTAATCTTATAAAAAAAGTTATAATTAAATACATGTAATAACATATATAATCTAATAAATTTTTTTTTAACATTTACCTCCTATCTTCTAACTTTAAACCTTTGGCAACAAATCCACTAGAAAATCTATATAACATAAAATTGGATCCCATTAATGGCATAATTTGACAAAGTGCCGATGACATTCCTCTATATAAACCCCTAACACCTTCACTTTTTATAATATTACCAACAGCAATTGTAGCATTTCTATAACCCTTTTGTTCATCTTGAGCTATTAGACGCGTTCTAATTACATCAAATGGTGTCGATAATAATATAGCAAAACCTCCTGCACCAGCTCCACTTACAAAATTGCTTAAATTTGGTGAATCTTTTAAATAATTAATTTGTTTTGCTAATAAATGTAATTGCTCATATGACCAAAATTGCGTTACGCCATATATTATACTTAATATTTGTGCTGGATTATGACCTTTCCAGAAAGCTAATAAACCTTCTTCTTTATATATTAATTTAACAGCATGCGGAATTGATTTATATTTTGAATTAATATCTGCTTTTTTATGTCCTAAAGGTTCTATTTGTAGTTGAAAACGTATTTTAAGAACATCTAGTGGTTGTGAAGCAAAGCGTGTAATAGCACCAGATAAACCGCCAGCAAATGCAGTTTTTATTTGTTCATTTGATGAGTATGTCTTCAATATATTTTCTTTGGATTCCATTTTTGTAATTTTACTAATTTATCTAATCGAATAATTTTGTTTAATAAAATCAACAATTTTTATTTTTTTACTTGACATAAAAAACGTTGATTATTTTTTTTTTATTTTTGTCATCTAAATCTAAACATACTGTTCTTATTCTGATTTTTGTATTTTGAAATGACATTGACATTTTACACATATTATTTACATGTTATTATAGTCTAAAAATTTACAAACTCTGTTGGACAATTATGACGTCATTTTAAGAGATCTGACGTCATCGGGAAGAAGTTTTTATATGGGATGAAATAAATAAGTTCTTCCTTTCTCCAAATACATTTCCAGCTGACAAAATCACATTTTCAAAATAATCTAAGAGGTTGTATACTTTTGGATTGTGCAAAAATTAATAATTAGTGGCTTTAAGTTTCGCAAAATAATGTTTTTATTAACTTACACTGAAAATTGTGGTATTTCATATTTATTTACATTCTTGTTACCAAAAGCTGGTCAAGTTGATTGCTTAGCAAAGATGTCAAGTTGTATTTATATATATAAGCATGTAGCTATGTCTGAAGCTCTTTCTGTCACAGCCGTACTAACTTATAATTTGTTTAAAAATTACATACGACTTTTTATGCTATTGTGTAAAAATGAATGAAGTTTTAATGTAAACAAAAATATTTCATAACCTGTTTTAGTTGTACCACTCGCCGCTAGATGTCCATAACAATTGCTAATTGAAATATCTATTTTAGGTACATACGATCTAACGAATATTAGAATAGTTAATAGTCTTTCAGTATTTTAGGATAGAGTTTTCTCTATCAAAATCCAGATCTACCGAAAAAACTATTGTACTTTAGAGATAGCGCTACTTTCTATTATACTAACTAGAAAATTATTTTAGAATAGAATCAATTAGAATTTAGAATTAGAATCGACATAGCATTCTTTTTATTAACCACCGAATTTCATACAATAAGGGAGGTGTTTTAAATGAGTTTACCTTCGTTAGGTCACGGTTTGATCAATTTTTTGGAAATTTCGGGAACTGGCTCTTGACTACGGGCCGATCTTATATTTTTGGTCAGTAAATAGACTTTTACTCCCGGAAAAATTTACATTTTTGCGCATATAAAGAGAAATAATCAACCAATTTCCTTGAAATTGAAATTCAGGGTCTTAAAACAAAGAACTTATAAATATTTTGAGAATATCAGAGCTCAAACCAGAAGTCGAATTTACATTTTATATTATAACCACGGAAGTAATTGAGGGAATTGCTTGAAATTTAATATTTAATTTCTATTTGCTACCACAATCAATTGACCAACATTTCAGGGAATTTGTTAGCCATAAAGTGAGCATCTACTAAGAGTCAAATTTACATTTTTCTGGATATGTTAACATAAAGTTTATTAGCATCTTTGAAATTTAAAAGAAGTGTTTTTAAGACATTTTTATAATTTTTTGCAACATTTTCGTTAACTAGTCAATGCCTTGCAGTCGTTATGTGTTGGTCACATCAGGTTTTTTGTTTAAAGCTTATAATGTACGTATATATGTACTCGAATAAATTATTTATGTAGGAGTTTACATCACCTTTTTGTATTATCTTTTTTATAATAGTAAAGATAAAGTTTTTTTCAAGTTCAACGTAAATAGGTGAAGAAAAAATCAGAATAAGAAGTAGATATAAACTAAAAGCAAGGAAACATAATAGAAGAAGATAAGAATGTAAGGAATCCTAGATAGAAGGAAAAAAAAACAATGTTACGCGCTTTAAATGAACACAAAAAAAGAACTAACAAAAAAAGATACAAGGTCATTTGGTAAAAAATAAAAATTTTCGTTATTATGAACTGGTTTTGAGTTCTTTTTTTGTTTTTGTTCAAATTAAATAACCGCAAGATTAACATTTCTTTTGTTTAGAAATTTGCATCACAGCTTCTTACTAAAAAAAAAAATTAAATACAAACATACATACATACATTTACATATAGATGTATTATATACATACATACATATATGTACTTATAATATATTATTTTAATAAATTATAATAACAGTAAAACTTTTATTAAACGATTTTATTTTAATTATACACTCTTAAATAATATGAAATTAAATAAGAATTTTAAGTGCTTTAGTCCTCATTAATATAGAATAAACTGACCTGGTGCGGCACTGTGGCGCTCAAGCATAACCTTAGCAGGACGACCGTTGTGCCCTTCACTAGGTGAAGAAAACTGGAGTGTCAGCGCACAATTCAGTTATGCGGAGAAGTAGTAGAAAGGAAAACGGAGGTGAAATACCTGGGTGCGATATTTGACAACAAGCAGAAGACACGAGAAAGTGGCAAGGGTGAAGGCTACCCGGATACTCATGGTGCGTAGGGCCATCTCAGGTAGGACGTGGAGATGCTCCTCGTCTATCATGAGGTGGGTGTATACCATGATGGTGGTGCCGCTCCTATCTTGGGGTAGAAGGATGCCATTTAATCTACATTTCTGACGCTATGAGGACGTATTTAATTGCGGCAATTTAGGTGATTTTGGGATTAGCCTCACTGCATCTTGTTGTCAAGATGGCGGCGAAAGCTGACATTTTGAGGTTGGGAAAGAATGAGGTAGGAACGTTCCGAGTAAAAAATCGGAAGCATCTCACCAGTGAGGTTCTTCTCCATGCACTGCCTAGGGATGGTATGGTTATAAAACAGACATAGCTTCGAGAAACACCTCACCTCACCACTGAAAATTAATACAGCGCTTTAATGGCAATCTGACATTCCGATATGATCAAGATCTTAAAAAATCAAAAGAATCAAAAAATCTTGATCATATCGGAATGTTAGGTTGCCATTAAAGCGTTGTATTCATTTTCAGTATCCTCCGAGGTAATGTTGGGTGGCCTTGAGAAGCTTAATAAATTGGGTAAATACATTTGAGTCACACTGAAAGGGAACGAGGTGGTCGATGAGTTGGCGAAGAAGGGGGCCAACACATCTCTTATTAGGGGTCCTTCTGCGAAATCTGACCACATACTGTTCGTTGAGAACTAATAAAGGTATCAAAGAAGGGGCGATCGGAGCGCTGGAGAAACCTGCCGGAGCTGCTGCAAGTCAAGAAACTCTTATTTAGGTAACAAGATTATAGGGTTAGGTAACAATCAGGTGATGGTCCTAACTGATATCTTGACGGGACACTGCAGGTCTAGGGGTCGCTAGGGGTCGTTAGGAGGTTGGGCCTAGAAAGCGAGAAACCTTGCCGATTTTTCGGGGAAGATGAAGAGACCATACCGTACCTTCTGTGATATTTCGGGGTGCTCACCCACAGAAGAAGGCAAATACTGGGGAACTACGGGCTCACAAGAAGATCCGTCGGACTTTTCAAGATAATCGAATTCATCAACAGTGTGGGTGTTGTAGGTTCGTGTCTCACAGTATGGGGGTGGTTGGCGGGCTACAATAGATCCCTATATGCTGGTCGCGGTGCACTGTTATCCCACCTGTACAATCTATAGTCTTCAATTGATTTTTGCTTTTTGCTTTCTCCTCACACTGTCTTTTAAAAATCATATATAGGCTCGGTAGGTTTAGAAATATTTTATACATATGTTTTAAAACAGATTTTACTGTTATACAGGGTGTTTTGCACATGGTGGCAAGTATTTTCAGGGATGATTCTTTGACGAATTTGCAGTAAAAAATGGTATGAGTGGTGGAGGGTGCAGATATACTCGTTTTCGAGCTACAGCCTGTTGAAAAAAAAACGTACTGGACTTTTCCTGCATATAAATAAATTCTTATTACTCAGGAGCCATACAATATAGAGTTATCATTAGAAACTTGTTTTACATGCGATTGATTCCTTTTTATTTTTAGTCTGGCAATTAATTTGATTTGAGTCATAGTTTTCGAGATACAGCTTGTAAAAGTTGTGCGTCGAAAAAAAAGCAAAAAAAAGTTCTTTTTTTTGCTTTTTTTTCGACGTACTACGATGAAATCTAAAACTTAAATCATATAACATTTTCGGTTATCTCTCATAGTTTTTGCAGTAAAACGTGTATCACGAGTATATCCGCAATCTTCTCCGCCCCCTCCCCGTACAATTTTTTGCATTAAAATGATAAAATTATTTGCCACCTTATTATTTGCCGAAACACCATGTATGTGTGATATGCAATGTGTTATTTCTTTAATATCTTGATGTTTGTTTTTTTTTCATATTGAAAACATTATATAATAAATTGTAATAATTAATGTACATATACATTATATATATTATGTATACATATACATATGTATTATATGTATGTGGGTTTGTATAACAAGATATTCAGGAATTTGTTATTAATCTTCCATCTGAGATACTTTTATGTTTGTACATGGATTGACTATCTTTTATATTAGATAATCAATTTTAAATATAGGAGGATTATAGAACAGATGCTTTTTTTCTTAATTTTTTTCGAAATTCTTTAAGTTTAATAATAGACATTTATTATTTTATTATAATAATTATTTATATTATATATACACATGTAAGTACAAAATAAGTTATTTATTTATAAACATTAATTACAATAAAGCCACAAGGCTATCGACTCGCAATTTTAAAAAAGGAATTTTAGTTTTAATTTGTTTAAATTACGAATTATTCAATATATAAAATAAGGACAATATGGTATAAGAGAGAGAGAAAAAGGATTATGATTTATTTGTGGAGTAAAATTGAAAACTGAATTTCGTGAGAGAAACTGACATTCTGTAAGAATTTAATTGACAGATATGAATTAGCATATATGCAGGCTGAGTCTTCTCTGTTCCATTAAGTCACATTGGTATGACTCATTCATATAGTTAATGGAACATTTAACTTTTGTATATATTAGTGTTAACATTTTTATATATGCGTGATTATAATTGTTCTCTAAATCTTTAGAAAATTTCCTCTTTTAAGTCTTATATAGTCGAATGAGCTACTTTATCTGCGTGAGTGATAACTTTGGTGATAACAAGCGTGTCAAGAGACATATTTTTCTAGAGTGTCTTAATTTGCAAAAGAAATAGCCCATAAAAAAATATTTTCGAATTTGCGTACATTCCTTCCTTCTATTTTAGCTGCAACAAATAATTTTTCAAGAAGATAATAATAAAATATGAAAATAAACAAAAAAAAATCTTTTATTTTTACATTTTCTCTTATAGTAAAAATTACTTTGCACCCTATACAACAATACTCATACAAATTAAAAAATTTTTCACACGAAATTTGTTGTATATTGAGGGATCTGTCTAAATGGGCGTGAAGCGCTTGATACTTGTGTCAAAATATTCTCATACCCGTATGCAATTTAAATCAAGTTAAATATACAATTAAAGCGATATTTCAACACCCAAGTATTACGCGTCTCGCCTTTCCAAATAGTTCAAATTCAAAACAAAAAAAATAAGAGTTGGTGGCCTTTGGTGCGAAGATAATGAAAATTTCATTTTTGGTACTATACCATCTCGTATTATGGTATTCTTATTCAACTTTCGGTGCAAATTCATACCTAGAAATCAGTACTTTTTTTTAATGAAATTGTGTG